CTCATCAATCCGACCGTTAGAACCCTAAAATTAGGTTTCTAACATCTGGTATCAGAGCCCGGTTCCGGAAGACGAGTTCATCAAAACTCTTTCCGGGATAGCTTCCTACTAGATCAAATCCAGATGAGTTCAACCGATATATCGGAGCTATCGTGGGCTCAAAAGCAGGAACGATTATGGCAGATCGTGGAGTACTGGAAGTCATACGCGTTACGTCGTGAGAAAGCAGACGCGAAGGACGGCGGTAATGACGCTACGGCGAGGCAGCAGCCGCCCACAGGTGTTGGCGAACCCGACGAGCAGCCGTCTCCGATAAGCTCTGCGGCGGATGACGGCGTCGAGACGAGCAACAAGAACGAGAAGCAGCTGCTTTCAGCTATTACCGCCACACCCGTCCACGACGGCTCATCAGCAGCGGCCACCATCACTGCGGCGGCACCACCAAACCCGCTTGTAGCAAGTGAACAATCATCCAGGGTGAGGAACCATAACAAGTTTGAAAAGGCTCTTTGTGTGGTCGTGACCAAAGAAGAAGGAGATCTCTCCTCTTCTGTTCTTGTTCCGGACAAGGAGAGCTTAATTGTTCATGGAGAAGAATCCCATACTGAAGGGTCGGAGAGGAGATCAGTGCTGAACCGAGTGGCGAACTGGATATTCAGGAAGAAGGAACCCGATGGAAAATCACCATCGCATACCTGCGACCGACGACGGGAAGTGATGACGACATCGCGTCGCTGGATTGATGCGTCTGAGCGCCGAATCGCACGCGGAACGCGACGACTGGCTGCAGTTTCCGTTCCGCCGTCGAGCAAAGGCAAGACGAGGTCTAAGGCTGGGCTGAGGGAAGGTCCGCCAACAAAGACGAAGAAGATTGGATCCTTCGGCCGGCTGTCGATGAAGGAGGGTCCGTCGGAGTCGAAATTTACAACTACTTCAAACGCGGCGACGACAGACTGGAAGGCGGGGCGGAAGATGACGAATGGGAGTCCGATTGGGGAGGTTTCGGGCAGGAAGAGGGAGTCGGGTTGTCGAGCTTCGCCATCAATAGCGCGAGTCGCGCGGGAGATGCGGCGAGTGTCGACGAATCTGGGGCGGGCGATTGAGTGTCGAGTTGAACTTCCAAAAAAGGTGAAGAGTCACTTGTCGCCCGAGAAAGCAGCGGCGAATCTGCCTAGCTGTCGAGGAAGCAACTCGACGCCGGAGGACATGTCGGAGAAGAAGCTATCGACGTTGCTAGTCGTGAGAGGGCGGGTGGCAACGCCATTCACGCCGAAGGAAGAAAAGGAGGGTGGCGGCGTCCTTCTGTTCGTGAAACCTAGACAGGAGGCCACCCTTTCGGGTCGAGATGGGTTGGCCCGCAACCTGAGCCGGAGGAGTGAGCTAGTGGGGATTTCGGTGGGCCGACGGGAGTTGTTGACCCGGCTGTGTGGAGGAAAGAAGTGGGCCGAGCGGTCCGCGGAAGCTGATCAACAAAGAGGGCCAGGACTTGGTTTCTTGCTTGGAGCGAGAGGAGTGGAATGTAGGGTGGAGGAAGTGGAAAGAAGAGTCTGCATGTGCTGGTCCTTGAAAGAAGTGGACCTGAAGGAAATTGAATGTTGGCCTAATGGGTCAGAGGTTGATTTATCAAGAGAGCAGAGCCCAAATGCAGGGCCTGAGCACGGGCTGAAGTTTGGAAGCATGGACCGACCCGAGAAGGAAAGGACGGATCACAAGTGGGTTCGACCGGGTCCTGGGCCGCGCAAAGGCGGTCTGATCGAGTGCCTTCTTTATGGCATTGGGACGGACCCAATTGTGAAGATGGAAGCTGCCGGACTCACTCTGGGCCCGACAGAGCAATCGAGCAGACATAGGTTTAAAGTGAAGTGGGCTGCGCAAGAGACTAGGCCCAGCAGAGCCCTCAAATTTCAAGGAACCGATGGGCTGGGGCCTCAAGGATTATCTGGGCCCAAGTTGTGTTGTTTAGTTGAATCTATCCTATATTGTGTGGACTTAGAGGAGAAGAAAGATGGATTCGTGGACTTAGTTGATGGGCTCAAGGAACAACAACTCTCTAATTCTTACTTTGTGGAGTTTGAAATGGAGGGCGGAGATTCATTTGGCCATGGTTGCGACATGATACACATGGGTAAGGAAGAAGCAAGGGGAGCCGAAGTTGCTGGTGTGAGATTCGTTCGAGTAGTGGAGCCCGATTGGAAGAAAAGGAAGCGCAAGACACGGAGCAGTCAAAGCTCTTATCGCGCAAGAGAGGCGGAGAAGTGGGTCAAATCGATCAACCTTGAGGGCAAGGTGGGTCACAAGGGGGAGAGGATGTTAGAAACACGATTTTTCGTGTTTCTCATTATTAATTATGGTAGGATAATTATTGTTAGGGTTAATAGTGTTCGAGTCGTATTAGGTTATTTATTAGGTTTATTCCAGTTTCTAGCTATAAATATGCACTTTGGGTCATTTGTACGATTAAGCATAAATTAATAGAATAACTATCTTCCCAAATCCTAAACTCTCTCTATCTCCTAATTTCTCTTCTCCCCTAATCCAAGGCTTAGGCCGATTCTTATTCTTTTCTTCTGCTTCCCTAAATTCTCAATCTCTTCCCCAATTCTATCTCAATCCCTAAATATCTATCAATTCCCAATCTCATCAATCCGACCGTTAGAACCCTAAAATTAAGTTTCTAACACATAATGCTAACAAGTAACATCCATATGCTACTTCTCAATTTTCAAAAGGCTACTTTTAAGTGTTTCCTCTCCATTGCTCCATGTTACCTTATTTTATCTCATCATGATTTCTGGTTGATGATGATGATGGATCAAAACCTTCAAAATCTCCCCACATGGATCGACTGTTGAAACCTGGGGAAGGACGTTAATTCTTATTAATTAATATTTTGGGTCGGTAATTACATAATTAAAAATTGTCTTGGGAAAGGGTTGAACAGTTCGAGACTTAAATCACATTTTGACTATGAATCCGTCGTGTGCGGGCCGAATAACCGGGCCACAGTCCAGTGTTGACTGTTGAAAGATATTTTTCTTCTTCTTTGGCAAGGTCGACAAAGAGGGAATCAAGCAGGTAGGTGAAATCACTGGTATGTACAACTAGATTCAATCAAAATTTCACAAAATCAACTGGAAGATCACCTATATGAAACGGTAGTTAAAATAGGTAAAAAAAATCAAAATTGAGGAAAAATTATTTGATCGGAATGGTCAATGGCGTCGTTTTGATAGAATTAACTAACAAAAAGAAAGAAATTTGTTGAATTCAATTATGAACATTTAGAAGCTGTATTATTTATTGGTTTCAAAGTATGAACATTTGGATGTTGACGTTAAATATTGCATTTAAATATGACAATTTGTTATTTTATTTGTAATATATTATTTTACTTTAATATAATATTAATATAATGGTATATTGTCTTAATTCAGATGGAATATATAAATGCATAATTATGAATGGTTCTCACTTCCTTGTATGTTTTGTTAGAACTAACATAAACATATATATAAACAAATTGTTTTCTGATTGGATCATATTGTCATAAACCCACTGATCTCAATTACTCATGGTCCATGAAACCGTATCGGAGACCGTACCGGGAAAGTCAGCGTTAGGGTATTTTATGGTAAAATCGTGGTTTAACCGTAGTTCAACCGTTATACCGGTAAATACAGTCTACCGATTTAGACTCCAATACTGGTATTTCGTGGTTTAACCGCCGGTACGGTACGGTTTCATGGACACTGCAATTACTCGAGTTGTTGGGAGAGGACCCATGTATGGTACTTAACCACTTTCTTACACACCTTCTCAAAAGAAAGCCGATACGTGGGCTTGAAGTTTGCACTGGCCCACCATACCATGTGCTTAAAGACAAGCGGTTAATATTTGGGATCGTGAGGACTTGAACACGTGAGCTCAAGGATAAATCAGTTTTAATACAATGTCATATCATAAACCAACTAATCTCAATAACTCGGTTATTGAAAAATATCCATATATGATACTTAATATAACTTCGTTAGGCATATCACTTACTAAACAACCAATTTGACAATTTCAAGATAAAGAAAGAATATAAGAAATAAAGAATGAAACTGATAGAGTGTACAGAAAAAGAAAGGGTTTAAAGGAAGATGGGAATAAAGAAATGACAAGTGGCAGAAGATAAACAGCCCCACACACCTAGAAGATAGCCCCACCCCATGAATGTCGGCAAGCGGGCTGGGCGAATGCTGATCGTCCGCGTGTCCTATCTAGAAATCTGGTGCCATATAGTTATCAATAAAGTAAAGGGAAAAAGGCCCATAAAAAAAAAAAAAGGCAAAAACATGGCGAATCTCTGATCTCTTCTTTATGTGCTGTTTGAGTTATTCACATTTCGTTATTGCGATATATATTTTTCTCTTTCTATATATTTTTTCATTTATACCACTAAATACATTTATAATCTACAAGTTCTTTACTTGAATTTCATTATTCACATTATTTTTTTTCTTTTCCATTCGTTGGTTTTTATATTTTAGAAAGACAGCGCCCTTATGTAAAAATTTCATTAAATATAAAATACAATTTTTATTGTTATTTAATGTTAACAATGCCATTTACCTGACAACTAAAATTTCATTTTTTCCCCCCAACAATCAATAGAATCAGAACATTTGATTGTTTGAAATCTAGAGGTTTAGACTCCTATTATCCAAACGAGCCCTTAGAGTTGTTTGGCGGATGTGGGTTATGGATTCTACAAACTCATAGGTTTACTAGAAAGTTATATTTAGCTGTTTTATTTGTATCACGAAATTTAGCTAAAATCAACATGAATTGAGATAAATCGATTTTACCATCTGTCAAACCATACCCCTTTTCAAATCGACATGTTGGTATAAACCGATTTGACAACTTTGACATCAATTCACTTTTTCATATATGAATTACCTAGTTATTAATTTATTATTTATATAATTTAATCATATACAGCGACACACCTAATCCTTTTTTTCTGTCTCTGACATCGGTTGCGTTTCCATGTGATCGACCATAGTATTTTTTTTATTTTTTATTTTTTTGATTACTTGATCGACCATAGCATCACACTTGTGAGTTGGTAACAAGTCCACCTTTTTCCCCTTTAATCTTAAATCAGCCCTGCTTGTTGATTGATGATCCCAATTTATTTGATTGACTACTCCAAATAAATCGTACTTGGAGTTTAATCCAAATGACATTAGCCAAGTCCTAAGACTAAGAGCCTTTATATCTGTAGCATATAGAACAAGTTGATACGGAGGCATGCATGACCCACCGACTTCTTTAAAAGTAATGTTATGTCACAGAAGTGGCATGCATGTCGACCACCGGTATTTTTCAATTTATTATTTTTTTATAAATATAGTAAATAATAATTATTGAAAAATGGATAAACTTTCCAGATCTGATGCCATTTAATTATCCACAGATATGATAAAGAAAGAGAGAGAGAGAGAGACCCGTTTCGAGACGTTACGTGTTCTGCGTATAGTATAGTATAGTATAGCCTTTCTTCTTTCTTCTTCACATTTAGTTGGCTATAAAGAGCGAACCCAACCGCACTCTGTTTTTCATTCATATTTTCCACTTACAACTAAAACTAAACCGAGGAAGAAAGAGCAGAGAGTGAGAGAGAGAGATCAAAGAATGGCGGGAATCATCCAGAAGATCGGGGAGAAGCTCCACATGGGCGGTGGAGCAGAACAGCACAAGGACACAAAAGATGAGCACAGCAAGGACAAGCAGCACTCCTCCTCCTCCGCCGACGCCCACAAGCAGCAGGGCGAGCACAAGGAAGGCATCATCGACAAGATCAAGGACAAGCTCCCCGGCGGCGGCGGCGACCACAAGGAAACCGCCGGCACCCACGACGGCGAGAAGAAGAAGAAGAAGAACAAGGACAAGAAGAAGGACAAGAAGAACCACGACGGGGGACACGACAGCAGCAGCAGCAGCGACAGCGACTGACCGGCCCGGCCCAGCTGATTTCTCTTAATAATCAAGGTGACTACCAATTAATTAAGTATTTTCATCATCAAATAATTAATCTGAATCTGGGAATCAGATCTAAAATCGATTTCTCCGAATCTAATCTCAAATTTTTTTTTCCTTGTTCATGCTCAGGGTTTTACTGTGCGAAGCTCCATCTCACACAACGTTTGCCAGAGTGCTTGCTTTGCTTTGTGTGGAACTATTTAGCTAGAAGAATAATCGACCCATGCTGTGCTGTTTTCTTCTTCTTATTTTGGATCTGGTCATATCCCATATGTGTTCCGCCGTTTCACTGTTGTGAGCTATCCTTTTATGTATGTCTATGTGTCTCTGCTAATCTCTGTTTTATGCTTATTAAGACTCCTTATCTAAGCTACCTACCTGTTCCCTCTTTTTAGTTCAATCAAAATGCCAACCAAGAGTGTGGAAACTGAAGGAGGTTGTAAACATCCTAGGCCAAAAATAATAAATTTCAACAACTCTTACTATCAATCAATACCCTATTATAGAATCTCAAACTTTAATCAATATACTTTTAATGATCCCCACCAAAAAAAAAAAAAACGTTCATCTAACTTTGTTGATGTCGCATAATGAACTTGCCCGGGTATGTATTTTACGACTTAAAACTCCATTGGGAAGAAATTTTGAGTTCTATCACCCATTTCGTCGGTTTGTTGATGATAGTAAGCGAGTCTTCTACCACTTCTAGTGTGGCCATAGTTGAATAAAAACTTGTAATTCGACACACTTCCCAAATAAAAAACCCTAAAATTCAAAACTGAGATGACAAATCTCTAAAATATAAGGAGACACATTCAGAACTCCAAATTGTAGGGTTTTGAATTTCCGAGAGTGATTTCTGGAAGGACAGGTCGAACATTTCACCTTTTTAATTGCAACCTCTGAGAGAAGGCCACATAAAGACCAAATTTGTTGTAACACGAATTCACTTAAAAGCCCAAACCAAATCTCATTTGAAAAAGCCCAAAATTGGCTGGCCAGGTAGGGATTGGTTCTATCTAAGGTGAGCTCATTCTACCTCCAGTCACCTCTTCAGTTCTTCCTTTCTCTGCCGGCAAGCGACAGCCAATAATCAATTGGCACCAAATCCCTTAATCCCTTCACTATGCCCAATTTCATTTTACCCGTTCCTAGGTTACTTCTATTTTTTATATTCTTCATCTTCGGCTGAGTTTGATGGTTATTCATATTGGAATACCCATTCGAGCCATGGTGAAAAATTCAATTTCGAGGTCGACATGGGAAGTTATCGATTGGTGGAAATTAGCGTCGTGGCCATAAGCAGAGGAAGCATGAGTCGATTTTACCCGAGTCCCTTCACCAGCTGAGTGTACAAAAAAAGGAAGGAAAATGATCAGCTACGCAGTTGAGTTCCTTACCATTATCCCATCTCCGATCCACTTCCCCGCAAAATCCGTCCAAGGTATCGACTGCACCCCATGTCAGATTCGACGATGTTGCTGGTCGTGTCTACGAGGAATTTTGTTCATTACATCAACTATCAGATTCGTCATTTATATGCCCCATGCCAATAGAATCACTTCACAGAGCAGATTGCAATTCTTCAGTCCTCTGTTCTTCACTTCTCCCAGGTTCATAGTCTTCTCAACTTTTTTTTAAAAAATTGTGTATCAGCATCGGCAAGATAATTTAATCCTTTAGTACTTTTCTTTCTCATGTATGTTAGCCTTTTGCAAGATGGAAGTCAACAGAATGCGAGACTTGGATTCGAAGAAACAACTATAGTTTCTAGGTTGTGGCTTGGAGTGAATGTCACCACAGACAAAATACTCCATTTGGACTTGATCCTCATGGATTCAAAGGTAATCTTGCTTTGTATAGCGAAATAAATTCCAGCTTTTAACAATGAAGTGGCCTAGTTCTAATTTCTATTTTATGACACCCAGGGCAATGACATATTTGTTCTTATTTGTCCGGGGCTGCAACAGAAGTTCAAGCAACTGCTAAAGGAGCACCATGTTTACATAATCACGGACTTTGATATCAAAGCAACCAGTTTGACACACCGAGCGATTGTCAATCCATATGTATTGTCCTTTACTCGAAAAACAACTGTTCAACATATCTCTAACATCTCCTTCATTCCTACTTTCAAGTTCACTTTCATGAAAGCAAGTGATATCCATCTAAAAAAGAGGAAAAAATCATCCTCTCAGGTTAATTCCTCAACTCATTCTATTTTGGATGGTACTGACCCTTCATTGCAGCTCATGTTAAGTATTTATTTCTTAGATGTTATGGTACAAATTTTCAATATTTGTAGTACTACAAAACCTAATCTAATGGTTATAATTTGGGAAGGAAAGATCAAATGGTCCACATCATAAAAGGGAAAGGAGGAAAATAAGAGGGGCTACCTAGATTTACGGCCCAGTTGTCTGGATTTGGAGCGGGCTGACATATATTATTCCTAGACCATTTTCAAATTGCATACAAAAATTCAATGGACTATAACACATTCATTTTACATAGGACTTCAAAAAAAATTTGTACACAAAAATCATATTCAATTTGTGCCCAACAAGATGATATTTTTTGGAGTAAACATTTTTCAGGTCATCATATACCACTGCTATATCTCTATATTACTTTTTTTTATAAACATCTCTAAATTACTTCTGATAGTGGTATGATATCAAAATGGTATAATGGTGATATGCTAGTGATATAATGTTGATATGATAGTGATATTATGTTGGTATGAGTTCTTATGTTCGAACAAATGTTTTGATAATATCATATCAGTGTCTTATCATGATAATATCCACTACAACAAATTCGGTCTATTGTGACGGTAGGATTTTGTCATATTAGACCTATGTTTTGTCAAATTAGGGTTATTATGACAAAGGTTGTTGTCACAAGGTGTTGTCATTTAATCTCCGCCAGGATAGGTCAAATGTGACAAAGATTTAAAATACAGTTGTCACATTTGGTGTATGATATTGTGACAAAGTCTTGTGTCATAAATGGTAAAAAAGTGATAAATAGTTTTGTCACAATAAGGGTGTGGTTTGTCACATTTGGACTTTGGTTTGTCAGTTTATCTCATGTTCTAGTTAGTCTATTGTGACAAACGGAGATTTTATGATGAAATATTTTGTCATTAGTTTTGTCGTAATTTGATGATTTTTCAGAATTGTTATTCATATTACATGATTATACGACGAACATATTTTGTCATTATTGCATATTATGACGAGTTTGGTTTGCGGGGAAGGTGTTGTATGTGCCTCTTGTCACAATATTTGTTAGGTAATATACAATAAAGTCATGAATTGACTTTGAAATTACAACCGAACTGATAAAAGAATGGCATAATTCGAAATGAAACCTGCATTTCATTAATAGATAAGCATTCCAACATAGTAGTAAGCAAATATCCAAAATATTACAACCATTCCAAGAATTCTAACTCCATGTTCACCACACACAAAATACCAGTAGAATCATCTCAATGTTCTCTAACTTGCTCACCATCACACAAAATATCAGAGGTTTGCCAACATTCTTCTTTGTTCACCATAACACTAAATAACATACCAGCACACCAACAACCTCCATTTTTATCTGGCTCTTGAAACTGAGGCAGGTTAGTTACCTTAGACTTGCCAGATCATTTACGGGTTACTTGGCGAGAAATCACCAATAGCTGACTCTATAGCTTTTCCTGGGAGGCTTTCAGCTGCTGCATCTCCTCTATTTGTGTCTCAAACTTCTCCTCTTGCCTATGTATCTTTTCTTCCTGAACCTGTATCTTCTCAGCCAGGCTTTTCAGCTACTCCTCCTGGCTTTCTATCTTTGCCTCAAACTCTTTGCTTTTTCTCTCTACTGCATCACAAGCTGTCCATTCATGGATAACATCATCATATCAGAATGGCATTATCATACATCATAAGTAACTATATCAGCATATCAGCATGTCATTGTGGCACTTGAACTCAACTCAGCCACATTCCAACAACCAAATCACAACAATACCACACCATCTATTACACTAGAATCAACAACCTTGCAACATTCTCTGAATTCAGACTCAGAGACCATTGTATAGCTCATACCTGCATACATGTCAATTCACGAAACATAAATGAAAATAATGAAGACTTTGTACCAGCAATGAATCTCGATTCCTCCCCTAGAGCATGAGAATTCGATTTTATAAGTTGTAACAAAGGAGAAGAAGTCAATCACTTATGCACAAGGTTCAAGAAAGCCTCTAGGCGAACGTTGAGGTCCTGACTAGCGCCAAGCCCTATTAAACGTTGCCTAGGCGTGACTAGGCGTTCAGAGCACAAATAAAGAGAAAATCCCAACAAGAAGTGAGAATAATATAAAAGCTTAAAATGTTTACAAATAAACATGACCCCTCTGGTTCGGTGGTGATTAAGAGACAAGGAACAAAGTTTTTGAACTCACTCCCAATCATCTCAATCGAATAGAACTCGATTGGGTCTTCTCAAAATGTTAGAAAAACACATATGGCATATCACCATTTTATTACCACTAGTCCCAGAACTTTGATGAAGTAGAAATTTTATTCTCAAACAAATACAGAAGAGGTGGAAGGTAAAGAAAAAAAAACTGAAAATGACTAAAAAAAGGAAGTGGTCAGGCGGCTCTAGTCAAAACTAGCTAGCAAGTAAAGAGCAACCATGGTTGAAAAATCACACAAATGGCAGCAAACCATAAACAACAACCAAAGGAAAGGTTCGCCTGCATCAATAGGAAGTCATTGGTAGCCTTACATTCCTATATCAGAAGACCATAACACAATAGTAGTGTCTCCCAACAGATTTTGACCATATCTCCAATCCAAGCACCCCAAACATTTCAAGAAAACCCAAATAAACCTCACTTTTGTACATGGAGAATTCCCAACGAAACCACACACTAGCACATACTGATCTTTCATGATACGGCGACATGAGAGGCAGAGGAGGACAAATGACTTACTGAGCTAATCAAGGATCCAACCACAGCTGATTGAAGATGACGACTAAGAGATGAGAAGCTCTTCGATTCAGTGCGACCGACTGGATGGATGATGATTTACGCAGCAGTACGGAGTTACCGACGAGATAAAGAGGCGATTGGCGAAAAGAAGACGTAGACTGACTTCTCAAGAACGCCCCCAAAAATGGAGGAATGAAGAGTCAAGTAGGCTGAATCGAATTCATTAAACCTAGTAGCAGCCAGCAACTTAAGTCCAGCAAGCTGGAAATGAAGAGGACTGAAGTTAATTAATCAGATACTACCAAATTCCAACAAAAACCAACCAAATTAATCAATTAACAATAGCAAACTCGTTTAGGAGATTTCTCCCTTTTCATGCGATTCTGGCTTCTGGGTTCGCTCAGATCTTCAATTGAGCAAGTGGATTGCTAATAGCCATCTGCCAACATTGCCAACTCAACCTTCACCTCCCTGGAATCGATGTTGATCACCGTCCTCACTTCTCAGTCCCCCTCTCTCTGCCCCTGCCACCAAGAATTCCTCCTCCTTACTCTCCTCCGATCTTGAGGAGCTCTCCGTCCTCTACCACGCCTTCAACCAAGGAAAGGTTCGCCTGTATCAATAGGAAGTCATTGGCAGCCTTACATTCCTATATCAGAAGACAATAACACAATAGTAGTGTCTCCCAACAGATTTTGACCATATCTCCAATCCAAGCACCCCAAACATTTCAAGAAAACCCAAATAAATCTCACTTTTGTACATGGAGAATTCCCAACGAAACCACACACTAGTACATACTGATCTTTCATGATAAGGCGACATGAGAGTTAGAGGAGGACAAATGACTTACAGAGCTAATCGAGGATCCAACCACAGCTGATTGAAGATGACGACTAAGAGATGAGAAGCTCTTCAATTCAGTGCGGCCGACTGGATGGATGATGATTTACGCAGCAGTACGAAGTTACCGACGAGATAAAGAGGCGATTGGCGAAAAGAAGACGTAGACTGACTTCTCAAGAACGCCCCCAAAAATGGAGGAATGAAGAGTTCTTATCCGTTTGAGGGGCATAGTCATGTATTTTTGGCCTATTTTACGCTGGGTTGTGCTATTTTGTCATATTTCAGGTCCCAGGCGTCAAAGGAAAGGCTAAGCACGAGTTTCGGGGCATTCGGAAGTCATTCGGTGAAGCTGGAGCCAAAACACGGGCACACCTAAAGCAGAACACGGCCGTGTTCCTAGGCCGTGCTTTTACTGCCGAGACTTGAATTGAGTTTGGCAAACACTGGCTGAAAACACGGGCGGGGTTGAAGCAAAACACGGCCGTGCCCTCGACCGTGTTTTGCCCAGTGATGCCCTTTTAAGCAGATTTCAGCCAAAAGAGAAGGGGATTCGAGTTTTGGAGAGACAGAGCGATTCCTAGAGAGAGAAAGCGACGAACAAGAGTTCCCAAGTGCCCTAGCTTGATCTTCATCACCATTGGAGCTTGGCTTGAGCTTGGAGGAGTGCCAATAACGCCCCCAAAAATGGAGGAATGAAGAGTCCTTATCCGTTTGAGGGGCATAGTCGTGTATTTTTGGCCTATTTTACGCCGGGTTGTGCTACTTTGTCATATTTCAGGTCCCAGGCGTCAAAGGAAAGGCTAAGCACGAGTTTCGGGGCATTCGGAAGTCATTCGGTGAAGCTGGAGCCAAAACACGAGCACACCTAAAGCACAACACGGCCGTGTTCCTAGGCCGTGCTTTTACTGCCGAGACTTGAATTGAGTTTGGCAAACACTGGCTGAAAACACAGGCGGGGTTGAAGCAAAACACGGCCGTGCCCTCGACCGTGTTTTGCCCAATGATGCCCTTTTAAGCAGATTTCAGCCAAAAGAGAAGGGGATTCGAGTTTTGGAGAGACAGAGTGATTCCTAGAGAGAGAAAGCGACGAACAAGAGTTCCCAAGTGCCCTAGCTTGATCTTCATCACCATTGGAGCTTGGCTTGAGCTTGGAGGAGTGCCAATCAACGTCCAAGAGCAGGAATCCATCCTTCACAGTATGAATTCCGCGTCTGATTCTGCTTTTGCTTCTTTCTCCATGGAGTAGTTCTCCCATTCATCTAGGTATGGAGAACCCTAGATTTGTATGTTAGGTTTGATTGTATGAACCCAAGTACTGATTCTATGATTTGATTATATTCAATTGAGGTTTGAATGATTGAATGGCATGAATCCTGATCAAATTCCTGTTGTTTCAGCTTTAACCTAGAATGAGAATATCTGCCTAGGTTGATAGAGCATCCTTGATTGAAGGTAGGGAGTTGGTGACTTTAGTCGAGGAGCCAACTCACTATTCTGTACCGAATTTACTTCGGTAGTGGAGGATTTGTTCGTTAGGGCCTCGATCTGTTTACTCCGGTGGAGGTTAGTCGCTCACTAGAGACTCAGATTGAGAGGGTCTGAAGACCTTTAGTCGAGACTTCAGGCTGTTTAAGAACCTTCCGCAGTATAACTATCATAGAAACTGAACTTGGTAATTGCAATCCGGCTTAACTGCAGTCTAGGGGGAACCATATCCGGGTGACCTCTCTTAACCTGAAAACAACCGTTTACTTGCTTTGTTTGTTTGTTAGTTTAGATTTGCATTAAAGTTTCATTGCTAGATAACAAGAATTCACCGAGTAGTCATCAAATCTAGGACCCGGGTTGACATTAAAACCCAAACCCGCTATACTACACTTTAGGAAGTGGTTTCACTTGGCCAATTCCTAGAGTGACAGTAGAAGTGAGTCAGACAGCAAACCATAAACAACAACCAAAGGAAAGGTTCGCTGCATCAATAGGAAGTCATTGGTAGCCTTACATTCCTATATAAGAAGACCATAACACAATAGTAGTGTCTCCCAACAGATTTTGACCATATCTCCAATCCAAGCACCCCAAACATTTCAAGAAAACCCAAATAAACCTCACTTTTGTACATGGAGAATTCCCAACGAAACCACACACTAGTACATACTGATCTTTCATGATAAGGCGACATGAGAGGCAGAGGAGGACAAATGACTTACAGAGCTAATCGAGGATCCAACCACAGCTGATTGAAGATGACGACTAAGAGATGAGAAGCTCTTCGATTCAGTGCGGCCGACTGGATGGATGATGATTTACGCAGCAGTACAGAGTTACCGACGAGATAAAGAGGCGATTGACAAAAAGAAGACGTAGACTGACTTCTCAAGAACGCCCCCAAAAATGGAGGAATGAAGAGTCAAGTAGGCTGAATCGAATTCATTAAACCTAGTAGCAGCTAGCAACTTAAGTCCAGCAAGCTGGAAATGAAGAGGACTGAAGTTAATTAATCAGATACTACCAAATTCCAACAAAAACCAACCAAATTAATCAATTAACAATAGCAAACTCGTTTAGGAGATTTCTCCCTTTTCATGCGATTCTGGCTTCTGGGTTCGCTCGGATCTTCAATTGAGCAAGTGGGTAGCTAATAGCCATCTGCCAACAATGCCAACTCAACCTTCGCCTCCCTGGAATCGATGTTGATCACCGTCCTCACTTCTCAGTCCCCCTCTCTCTGCCCCTGCCACCAAGAATTCCTCCTCCTTACTCTCCTCCGATCTTGAGGAGCTCTCCGTCCTCTACCACGCCTTCCACCAGAGTTGTTGTTGGAGAATACGAGGCCCTTTGGTGCGTGAAGGACAGACGATTGTAGAGGAAGAGAACGGCCGTGGCGGCTTTGAAAAGGTGAGACAAGGTGACAGTGTGAGACGAGAGGAGAGAATCACGGTTGCTAGGGTTTATTTGATTTGATTTTTTTTCAACGCAACACAAGATATAAATTAATAAAATAAATGAGGAAGGCAAGGAGGGAAATTTCGGTGGGACTTGGGAGGAAACTTTGGGCGGGCGTAATAAAATTTGACTGGGACTTGGGAGGGAATTTTGGCCGAGTGTAATAAAATTTGAAAAATGAAAAAGTAAAAAACTAACTTTTTATTTTGAGGAATAATATGACAAAAGTTACTCTGACGATATAATTTGTCACTTTTGTGTCTCTTACATCCCGATTTGGGATGCCTATTTTGACCAATAAATTGTGACACGAAATATTTCACATTACTCACTTTAAATGACGAACTATTCTGACAACCAGAAATTTGTGACTGTTGAATCTCTTACATCCCGATATGGGACACCTATCTTGACAAAATTAATTGAGACACGAAATATTTGTCACATTACTCACTTTATCTGACGAACTATTCTGACAACAATTTTTTTTGTAACATTAGGCATACCAACTAGGACATATATTATTTTTGTCATATCACCATACCTATTGTGACAAACAAAAAATGACAAAATAAAAAATTTGTCCTAATAGGTCGAATTTGTTGTAGTGTCACGATATGAAACTGAAATGATGTTGGTATGAGATCTTATGTTTGACAAAACATAACAAATTGAATATAATTAATTAATGTTGGTACGAGGTCTTATATTTGACAAGATAATTTAATGAGATCATATCATAATCATATCACTATGATATTATCAATCACTATCATATCATGATATTATCATTTTGTTATGCTTGACAAAACATAACAAAATGGATATCACTATGCAGATCTTACTGACTGCATTCTTTCTATACAAATTTTTAACTTGAGTTGAAATGAAGTAGATGAGTCGTCATATCATGATGATATGATAGGTATGTCAGTGATAATACCACAGCTGACACGTGTTTTGAAGAGTTAATTTTTTATTTGCTCAAACTATAACAAAATGGATATAATTGTGTATATGATCATAATTAATGTATTCTTTATATGCAAATTTTCTCAAATTCTGAGTTAAAACGAATGGTATAAGATTTAATTAAGAAAAGAGCACTTCTACTATGCTATAAAACATTGGTGCTTTAATGTACAACTTGAAGTTGTACCATAACGTTAAATGTATAAGTTCAGGTTGTACCATAAATGAATTAGTACCCAGCCCTAGTGGGCCTTGGCAAGCACACACCTGGTAGCCGGCCGTTGACCTTCCCGTCTCGGCGGTCGCCCCCAGCAGCTCCATCACCTCATCCGGCGAGGCCCCCTCCGGCTCCTTCACCACCGGTTCACCCCCGCCGATTGGCCCGCCCGCACCGCCTCCTGGTCGCATGAGGGCGGTGGCCAACATGTCATTGATCTCGCCTAGCGCACGCCATAACGCCTGCGAGTCCGCCACGCGAACCTGCTCGCCCTATAGCCTGACCTGGCACTCCTTTTCCACCCCCCGGCCAACCGTTGCACGTTGGTTCGGAGCTCCTCATCCTCCGTCTCATTGACCAGCGCGCCATCGATCGGGCGCGGAGCAGCAGTCGCGCCATCGTCGGAGGTCGGTATCCCGGTCACCGTCGCGGCAGCAGCCTTCGCCGTCGCTTTCTCGGCCGCCGTTTGGGACTTGGTGAGCACCATGATCGCGCGGTAGTGAAAGAAAATGGTACTGCTCTGATACCAAATGATATAACCCCCACGTGTCGGGTTTTATCTAGGGATTCAGATCGAGGATATCAACTAGGGGTTGATCTGCTTGGGAATTAAGGAGAGAAGATAGTAGGTGATTTGGAAAGGAAAGAGGGAGAGGAGAAGCAACTGTGGCGGCAACCAATAGAGGGGAAGAAATTAAAGGTTCGATAGATGAGAGGAAGAGAGAGAGAGATTAGGTAAAGTAATTTAGGTTTAATCTTTCTTAGTGGTAAATCCCACGTTCAAGAATATTTATATAAATGCATAATTCTCAAATACTACCCCAAGTAAATAATCCCCACAATTAACCCAAAATAACCCCAATAATCCGAAAGAATAATAAACCGACAATAATTGAAGTAGAGATAGTGTATCGCCTGTGTCTGTGATATTTTTGGTAAATTATTTGATTAAAAAATAACCAACTATCAAACTCCTTGTCACTTGTCAGCCTTTTTGGCCCCCTCACTTTGGCTCTGAGTGACGCCTCTCATATCTCGATCTTGAGAAACAATCCCAGACCCAAAACACAACTTGGTCTATCAAGTCTTCGCAGGATCAACGCGGGGAGTGGATAGTTTGAGTGCAATGAAGGTTCAACCAGGCCCACTCATATGTAGGAGTGTTCAAATGGTTACCGTGGTAATAACCAAATTAATTAAACCTAAATTTTATTAACTATGGAATAAAATGTCTTAATCAAACCGACCAAATTAACACGAAAACCAAATTAACCAAACCAAGTTAAATTGGTTTGGTTAATTGGATAATCGGATTAACCAAATAACATAATATTACATGAAAATAATTATCTTGTTAATGAATAAAACATAATCATATGTTATTACTATCATAAACTATCATTATATATAAAAAAAAATAATAATAAGACTAACCATGATTATCATCATCATTCGAGTTAATACATCATTCATCATCTCCGCACCTAATATGGTTAGCTTACAACAAACCCTTAATATAAATATTAAATAAATACCAATACCACTCATCAGGAAGTTAAAAGCTCTCTTACAAAACACTTAAACTATACATTGTTTGAGGTGGCTGTCATGGTATTGTACGCAATTCTAAAGTCTAGTAACTGTTCAAAATGTTTTGGTTTAGTAAATAGGTAGTCTCATTTAATTTTTGACCCATAATGCTTTGGTTTGTTATGCACATGAAAATAAAATAAGGAATCACGAAAGTTTGGTTTGGTTGGTTGCATGAAAGTATAAATAATTTTGTATATTAGGTGTATCATTAATTGGTTTCTTTGGTTAGCAGTGTTGAAACCAAACCAAACCATCTAAACCAAATAAGCTAAATTGTTTAACCAAACCAAACCAAACCATCTAAAACAAATAAACTAAATTGTTTAACCAAACCAAATTAATCAAATGATATTGGTTAACATTGTTATCACGATAACCAATCCGTTTGAACAGCCCTACTCATATGTACCCTAAATGACCAACAACCATATGTCCAATCAGTAGTCTAAAGAGAACTGACCCACCAACCGGGGAACACCATGCACCGCCCACACTCCAGCGCACTCCAGGCCATAACAGTAAACATGAGTCTAAAGTCACGGTAGAAGCAATCTGGTGACATAGTAAATGTGATGTTGGGATATTTTATATCTTTCATTCATTTCATTTCAGTTCATTTCAATTCAATTCAATGTTTGATTCTTAAAATGATGAGGCTTCGACCATTCTTCAATGGATTGTCCGGCCGGCTTTCATTATCATCCGACGTAAGGAAAAAGCTACCTACCTACACAATATTGAACACAGTTCACGCATTTACATGCGCAAGCATTGACACTAGTTGTGCTTCGTCTCGTTGTGAGTTGCTGCTGCTGCTGATTTCTTTTGGATTGAAGAGTAGCAGGAAGATGCAGAGAAGCCGGTGCCGTTGGTGGCTCAACTTGTTGCTTATTCTCCTCCCTCCTTGTCGTCGCGCTGTCGTCGTCGTCGTCGTCACAGATGGGCATGTAATTTGACAGCCACGCCATGCCCAACGTGGTCGTGAGAGTCGAGCCTAGACAGGCGCAGAGTTGTTCTTCCAATCTCAATCGCGCTGCCAAGTTCTCTTCATCGACCTGTTTAGACTACTGATTAATTAACAAGTGACTAGAAAAGAAACCGTGCGTTGCGTACGTTACGTAGTTACCTTAATGCTGCACAGGGGCCAAGCCGGCCAGAGGGGTAGTATTGCCAGCGCCAAAGCAAGGACTAGGACGGAAGCTAATGCCTCCGGGAAGACGCTTTTGCACCGACGAAAGTAGTTATTAAGAGCAGCAGCGGCGGAGCAGAATCCAAGGGCAAGCAGCACCGTCATGTCCGTGGGCATCCAGTAGATGAGACTCTCCATCAAAATCAACGACCAAAAATTCCCAAAACCCAAATCAGATGCATGCGCGAAAATCTGAGGGTAGCTATAGACCTGGCAGGTCCCCAGTACCAAAAACATGTAGTAACGCATGTAGCAAGCTAAGGGGTGTCAACTAACATTACTGTCGTCGATAACAGCTTTGTATGGATCGTAAACGCGTCTCGTCCAAAATGCGGCTTGCAAGCAGGCCATCTCCAGTGCTGTCTTCTTCACTCCTCCAATGTAGCTTCGAGTACTCCCCCAGCGGGGTCCATAGAAATGATTTGCTACCGCCAAAATTACAATCCATCCAACGGCCGATGAGTACAGATTTCACCGTCGGTAGTTGCGGGAGATACATCAGATAAATGAACGACGTTGCTCCGACCATCAACCACAAATGCGTCGATCTCCTTATTATTTGCGCTTCTGCGATCATCTTCAGATGTAGGAGGTATGCGCGCGCGCGGCTAATTAAGCTGCTAGTGATGACAGCAACAAGACAAACCCAGCTGCTAGGGTTGCAGCTGGTTGTTAGAGGAAGAATGCGAGCAATGAAATTGTAAGGAAATCTGCAAAGCTGGGTCGCCGGGAGGAGCAGGGGCGCGTCGATCTGGCCGTCGTTCACCTGGGAGATGGGTCGCCGAGAGGAGCTGTTGCGGGGAGAAGCGGCCGGCGGAGATGCAGAGCCTCGACGACGAGAGGAGCAGCTGCGGGAAGAAGCTCGGCGAGAGGAGAAGAAGCCCAGGCCACCTCGACGAATCCCGGCCGCCTCGAAGAAGCTCGGCAGCTGAGGAGATGCTGGCTGCGGCTGGACTTTGAGATGGAAGGGTTTCGGATGAGTTGGGAGTAGGAAGAGTAGGGTTTTGTTATTTCAATTGAAACGAAAAAATAGCCAAAACTGAGGTTGGACGACCCGGAATAGGATTCAGTTGGGTCGGGTTTTGCCAAACACAAATCCAAACTTATGGGTTTATCCATGAAAAAAAATTCAGGGTAAAATCTACAGGGTTTGGAAAACTCAAACCCAACCTGCTGGGTATCCGCGGGTTCATGGGTACTCATGGGTTTGTCGTAAAAAAATTCACAATAATTTTTTTTTATCAAAATAAAAGTCAAATATCAATCTCTCAATACAAATAATCCATATATAAAACATCATTTAAGAAAATTTAAGCAAATCACAAATTAACCATACAAATTGTTCAACACCAATCTAGAAAACTAGAGAAAATTGAAGCAAATCAAAAATTATACATAAACAACATGATTAATTGAAAGTTTCTTCCTCGTCAATTAAGCTTCTTCACTCTACACTCGATAATATCAACTTCATTCTACACAATTAGAAAGAAGATTAGTTGCTTATAATATTTAATATACCTGGAAAATTGATTATATGCGTATGGGCGGGTACTCATGGGTCGGGTACACCTAAACCCAAATCAAACCCAATCCGATGAATAGTGACGGGTTTCAACCCAAACCCGACCTGAAACCCGTCAACATAGATTTTACCTGTGTTGACCGGGTTGGATCGGGTGGGTACCCGTGGGTTCGGGTTTTGTTGCCATCCCTAGGATTCAGTCACTTACTACATTTTGGCCTCTTACATCCTCCAACCTCTTTATGGGTCGTTTGGAGAACAGGATTTAGTCCGTAAATTTATTGAATCCGCAGATTTTGTATAAAATTATATTTTTTGGTTGTTTTATGTATTGTTGATTTTAGCTTTAAAGATATCAAATCTCTAAAATTTACGGATATCAAATCTCTAATAATTAGAGAGATTTTATATCTTGATTCGTGATATATTTTTTCTCCTACTTTTTCTCTTCCTTTTATTTATTTATCACATTAAATATATTTATCAACAAAGTTTTTAATATTTCCAGAACCACTCTAAGTTTGTTTATGAACATGTTAGTTAATGTAAATTTTTTCAATTTTCATTGAATGTTATCAATAACAGTTACAAAACAATAAATATTTTAAAATCCGTTCTCGACAATCTGGAGAGTTAGAATCCGTATTATTGACAATATATAGATTTAAACTCATTGTCTCCAAACGAACCCTTTCTTTTTCAGTTTGTATTATATTTTCTAATATCAACATATCCTTTAAATATATCAAAATTTTAAATATTGTTCCCGTATTCTTTTACGAGATTTTGATCCGATTCATTGGCCGGATAAAAGCAAAACTTTTGCAGTGTAACTTATTCTCTCAACTGCATTTTGAGACTCAAATGACATGAAATCTTGTTTTGGACTATCTTTTTCTACCATGAGAATTGAACTCGCCTATACCCAAAACCGATGATTCACTCGTACCCTTGTCCATAAGGACCTCAATGTTCTTATTATACGTTAAGCCTTAATAATACGATTTTATTAAAATAAATCATTCCCGAATAATCATCTTCCATGTATTAAACTTCACTAGTAGATTCTAAATACTATTGTCATCTTTATTTTCCAATCCAATTATTGATAATCTTAATCATGTATCAACCTTCACTGGATCAGGGTTTCAAGAAAAAGAGTAATTTAATTTGGTGATATTCTAATTGTAGATTGGAATATATCAATTTCTAGTTTTCATAAAGCATTGTTTAATTTCTAGTTTTCATAAAGCATTTCGAGGGTAGTTATCATAAATGGTCACAAATCTATTCACTTTGTACAACACGGTCATAATTCTTTAATTTTGCACGTTTTGATAAAAAAAGTTTGAGCAAATAACAAAATGGTCAATCCGTCCAATTCCGTCCAAAACTTCGTCCCAGATCGCCCCGTCAGCATGACACGTCAGTGTAAATAATAATTAAAAAAATGTGTTAATCAGCCCACTTAACCCGAGACTCCAACCAGTTGAAACAATCCTTTTCCCATCACTTTCCCGGATCGCATCTTCAGTCTGTCTTCACCCCCAAATCGCGAGTTGGAAGGCCTAAAGAGACAGAACGTCGCCATTAGTGGAGAGCGATTCGGCGACGTCGCCAAATTCTCCTCGCCGGCGCCAATGATTGTCCATCTCCTACCATCATCGTTGTGCGAGAGCGATTGAAAGATAGGTTGTCGTCGCTCAAAATCGCCGGCCGAACTGTAGAGACAGCGAGAGTAACATAGGTCACCGTCGCCACTCGCCTAGTCTTCCGCGTCGGCGTGGCGGTCCATCTCGCCGCGGGAACCATCACGAAGTAATTGGAGAGGAAATCCTTGAGTTCCGCCGACGATTCCTCAGGTACCGCCGGCGACTCATCGCCGGCCCCGATTTGGATCAAGAACGACAAGATGTTAGTCCCGGGCTTTTAATTCCATGTCGACTTCCCCGTCAGCAGCTCGACAACGGCACAACCTAAAGTCGAGATATCACAGGGCGGCTCGTACGCATTCTCGTTAACCGATTCCGACGCCATAAACAGAGGAGTCTCACGAATCTCAACTTTTCCCCTCTTCCACTGTTTTTCTTTTGCTTCCCCTGTTTTTTTCTGTTGACTTGTTTAGGATTGTTTGTAATTACACTTTAATCACTTCAATTAATGTTTGTTTGCGTGTTGTTAGCTGATGGATTGACATCCCAATTTATTTGCAGGCTTCCTGGACTCAGAATTTCATTTTCATGTGATTGTTGGCACCGATGAGGAGGACTTGGTGACGGTGACTTATCTTTCTATCGTAATTGTCTCTATAGTTCCGCCAGCGATTTTGAGCGACGACAACCTATCTTTCAATCTCGAGGATAATAGGAGTTGGACGATCGTTGGTGCCGGCGAGGAGGATTTGATGACGACGCCGAATCGCTCTCCCACTAGTGGTGACGTTCTGTCTCCTTAGGCCTTCCAACTTGCGATTTGGGGGTGAAGACAGACTAAAGATGCGATCCCAGAAAGTGATGGGTAAAGGGTTGTTTCAACCGGTTGGGGTCTCGAGTTAAGTGGGCTGATTAACACATTTTTTAATTATTATTTACACTGATGTGTCATGCTGACGGGGCAATCTGGGACGAAGTTTTGGACGGAATTGGTCGGATTACCATTTTGTTATTTGCTCAAACCTTTTTTTTACCAAAACGTGCAAAATTAAAGGATTGTAACAGTTTTGTACAAAGTGAATAAGTTTGTGACCATTTATGATAACTACCCATATCTTCGATATAATTAGTCGATTGTACGATGGTCTGGAACTTTCCATATTATCAACATAGGATGGATTTGTCATAAATCTTATCGTAAAAAAAATAACATTTATGATGCCATGCGCCTTGTCACAAACATTCATTTTTGTGATGAAATATTGCTAATGCCAAATAAATAGTTTTTTTATATTGAAATTTGATCACCGTCAGTAATAACTGACGAAAGAGAGATAGTCGTCAGTCCGTCACAAGTAATGACTGTTTAGATTTGAATCCTCCCAAAATTCCCCATTACTGACAAAAAAGTTAAAGATTGCCAATGAGAATTTAAAATGGTTAGTAAAAAGGTGGATTTTACTAAGTACACATGTTTTTTTAGGAAAAAAAAACTCTTTCTTACACGAAGTTAGTATGGTCGATAGGTTCTCATTAGGACTGTCTAATTTTATTTCTTTTTTTAGTGATTGATGCGTGATCATTGTGGACATTGCCTTATAGCTTTCTCCATAAACCTGGGCATATGTTGAATGACTCGGGCCGAGCCAAGAGTCTCTGTTAAAATGCTATGTGTTTAATCCCATTAACTTGACTGGATTAATCTGATTATAGAATCTATAATTCAATCCAGCAAGGGTACAGTCTCAAGTTGAAAGATAAGATTTAGATTGAAGCCCTAATAAACTCGATCATGAGTTCTGAAAACATAATACAACCCTAAATCCAAGACGATCAAGGACAGAAAAGAAACAAGAAGAAGCCACGCCCAGATAATCTTGAGTTCCTGGCTCAAAGCCCAACTCAAGTTATCCAGACACAAACATTGAACCCAAACCAGAGACTCCCTGGAACTAAACCAGTTCTTACTGAGTATCAGGAAACCGTTACTCTTCTTCTTCCTTGGGAGATCTTTATATAGCCTCAGAAGTGCAGGTCTTCTGTCTCTCTTCTTCAATGCTGGTTCCGTTGGGCAGAATTGATGGTGGTGATGATCGATGCATCGATGACTCAAGTTCGAGGGATCGAATTCTCTTTGTCGATGCTGATGACAATGGTAAAGACGATGATGCGCTACTGGGCTCTTGTCGAGGTCTGAGGTGATGTAGCAACTAGGTTAGGTGGGCTTATGAGCAACTGGGCCTTTTGATTAAGTGAAAGAGACGAGGCAAGGCCCAACAATCTCCCCTTGCGTTCGAGTCTTTAATCCTGTTATCAGCCTAGGCACTGCAAAAGCCAAGAGTTCTGCAGTCATACAAGCATACACTTATGATAGGCAAGAAACTTAAGATAAATTGCACAACACTCATTGTCTTTGCAAAATAAAGAGAATCATCAATTTATTTAGCTTAGTCTTGATGACACAGTCACGGAACCATACTTAAACCCTTATGGTTTTTGATAATGAGATTCCTAATTTTCTTCATTCTCAGGATGAGTGTCCTGAGTCTCCCCCTGAGTTCCAGCTTCTTCCTCCATCTCATTTTCTATTTGAGTGCCAACAGCTTCTTCCAATAATTCTCTCTCAAGGTCATCAACAAACAATTTGATGTCTTTCTCAGATAGGGTTTCAGGTTCCAGCTCAGCCTCTTCTTCTTCAAAGGAGATGATGAGGTTTTTGCATATTGATGAAGTGGCACCAAGAATCAATGATTTGGAGAACTACTTGGACAGGGGTTTTGATTTCTTGAATGTTGGTCCAGAGATATCTCCCCCTTTCGAAGGCTGAGGGTCAATGTGGATAAACTGGAGAACAGTGAGGGCTGGGACTGAGACTGATGTTTCAATAGTGGAGTAACCATCCATGGAGATTCCTAAATTGGAAAGCAGAAGGGTAATGAACCCTCCATAGGGAAGGCGCCCCCCAAGGTGAGCATCAGCACTTCGAACAATTGAACCGAACAGCAGCTGAGAGTAGTCAATCTTTCTACCAGTGAGTGCATTGGACAGAACCCAGAGATCGATCTTGGTGACAATGTTGAGGCCATGATTTCGGGGTAGAAAAAGGTGGGTGATGAAGTAGTGATGAGTGCGAAGGGTGGGATTCAGATCAGCTGAGGTTATTACCTCATGTGCCCCTACAGGGCGTTGAGTGATCCTTGAATACTCAATCACATGGTCAAAATCATAAAAGAGGAATTCATCTTCATGAGCCAAGGGAAGGGGTCCTCCCGTGGGGAGATTAAGAAGAAGGCCAAGAGCTTCTGATGTGAGAGAAATGAAGTAGCCATTGACCAGGGTGGTGAGCTTCCGAGTGGTGATTCCTTGGCAGTCAAGATTAGCATAGAAGGTGCGGACAGACAGAGGACAAGCAGCAAGAGGTGGGTAGTGAAGAAGGAATTCCCAGCCCAGGTTTCGGAGGAATGGAGTGATGTCAATACCATGGGATTTGAATTCAAACAGATCGAGAGTGATGGGGTCAGAAAGAGGGCGGGAAGCATAGAACTCCTTGAAACGGTGAAGATTGAAGTCAATGGGCTCATTGAAGGTTCTCCCAACATAAGTAACAATGGCACCAGGAATGTTAGAGGAGGTGAATAGTTCAGTCATAGTGAATTCACTGATGAGCCTTGACTGAAGTGAAAGGAACGGAGGGGGGAGGAGGAATTTTAAAGGCACGACAGAAGGGGAAGAGATGCAGTAATAACTATTGAAGATGAAAATCACGTAGCATGGAAAAACCAACCATCAAATGCATGCACTAAGAATTAATACTACAGATCAGCAGACAGAATCTAAGCAATTAATAAACTAGAAGTAAGAGCAGTAGTAAAGGAAGAGCAGAACCTGATTTAGTGATTGGGTTGAACTGAGTGAAGTGCTTGCAGACCAAGTTCTCCACAAAGTCGAATAAATCGTTCAGAAGACAGGGGTTTTGTAAAGATGTCCGCAATTTGGAATTCAGTGGATATGAAATTAAGTTCTACGTGTCCAACTTGTATTACATCTCTGATAAAGTGGTGTTTTATTTCAATATGTTTAGTTCTACTATGATGGACAGGGTTTTTTGACATGCAAATTGCACTGGTATTATCACAAAGGATAGGAATGTGTTCAAAGTTGAGACCATAGTCTAGAAGTTGGGATTTTAACCACAAAATTTGGGTGCAACAGCTTCCTGCAGCCACATATTCTGCTTCTGCAGTAGACAGTGCAACAGACCCTTGTTTTTTACTGGACCAAGACACAAGTGATTGCCCAAAGAACTGACATGTACCACTAGTACTTTTTCTGTCAGTTATAATTCCAGCAAAGTCAGAGTCTGAGTACCCAACCAGTGAAGGAGAATCAGACTTGGGGTACCACAGACCAAGATCACTAGTTCCTTTTAAGTATCTAAATATTCGTTTTACAGCAGTTAAGTGGCTTTCTTTAGGTTGATGTTGGAATCTGGCACACAGACAGACACTGAACTGAATGTCAGGCCTACTTGCTGTTAAATAAAGTAGGGATCCAATCATTCCTCTATACCTTTTCTCACATACAGGAATCCCTGCTAAGTCATAATCTAGATGGGCATTAGAAGCAAGTGGAGTCTTGCAGGGATTTACTTTAGTTAACTCAAATTTAGACAACATGGATTGTAGATACTTTGTTTGATGAATAAAGATTCCAAGGTCAGTTTGAAGTATTTGTAGGCCAAGAAAATTGTTCAATTCCCCATGAGACTCATCTCAAATTTGCTTTTCATAGTAGAACAGAACTCATCACACAATGCAGGATCAGTGCTGTCAAACACTATGGGGTCGTTTGCTTGTTGGATTTGGGTCATGGATTTGGTACCCAAATCCCAAGCTTGATGGATTTAACATAAGTCCATTGTTTGTTAAAGGGTGCTAAATCCGTGGGGTCCACGAATTTGGTCTTTATTTTGGAACCAAATCCGTGGACCCCACGGACTTGTAAATCCCACATATTAATTTGGGATTTGAAAATCCTTGATGGTTAGTTATTTATTTAACAAATCCATCATCAAATATATCATGCAAACATTAGACTCTTCAAATCCATAATCCAATAAATCCAACATAAATCCCAAGGTTTTTATTGGCCAAAACCCTCATTTTTCATATCCAACAAGCAAATGACCCCTATACCATCCACGTATACTTGAACTATTAGTGAGTGAGAGTTTTTGCGTTTTATAAACAATGTTTTGTCTACTCCACCCTGACAAAAGCCTTGGGATATCAAAAATGAAGTCAATTTATCATACCAGGCCCTAGGGGCTTGTTTAAGACCATATAAGGCTTTAGAAAATTTGTAAACGTGATCAGGAAATTCACAGTCAGTGAATCCAGGGGGCTGTTCAACATAAACATCCTCCTTGATTTCACCATTTAGAAACGCGCTTTTCACATCCATTTGAAATAATTTGATATTCATATAGCTTGCATAAGAACAGAGAAGTCGAATTGATTCAAGTCTAGCTACAGGTGCAAAAGTTTCATCATAATCTATCCCTTCCCCCTGGTTGTAACCTTGGGCAACTAGTCTAGCCTTATTTTTAATTATGTATCAAAGGTCATCAGATTTTTTCTAAAGATCCATTTAGTGCCAATTACAGAGATGTTATAGGGACGGGGTACTAGTTCCCAAACATTCAGTCTAATGAAGTGAGACAGTTCTTCTTGCATAGCAAGTAACCACTCTTCATCCAAGATGGCTTCTTTAAAGTTTTTAGGTTCAAGCATAGAGACAAAGGCATACTGACCTGGGATGTGCTTACCTCTGGTTTGAAAAGGGTCAGTCAGGTTACCTATGATTAGAGAGGGTGGATGCCTTTTTCTGAGGTGAGCTGGAGCTTCCACATTGTCCTGGTGTGCAGTTGAGTCGACCACAGTCCACAAGCTGTACTGAGTCATTTGACTCATTGTCAAGGGGTTCTTCACTGTCTGGCTTATTTCCTGTCTCAATATAGGAGCTAAGTGGCAGAAAATCATAATTAATTATATAAGAATGTAAGGGCAGTGAAGGATGTGAGGAATCAAAGCGAACATGCACTGATTCCTCAACTTTTCTCGATCTTTTATTGAAAACTCTATAGGCTTGACCTTTACTGGAGTATCCAAGAAAGATCCCTATATCTGATTTTGCATCAAATTTTCCAATGGAGTCTTTTGTATTTAAAATGAAACATTTAGTTCCAAACGGATGAAAGTAGGACAGTTTAGGGGTTTTTCCTTTTAGAATCTCATAGGGAGTTTTATTGATTACTTTTCAAACTGTAGTCCTGTTTAAAACATAGCAAGCAGTATTGACTTCTTCTCCCCAGAGAAACTTAGGACATCCAAATTCCAAAAGCATGGTACGAGCAGTTTCAATGAGGGATCTGTTTTTCCTCTCCACAACACCATTCTGTTGTGGAGTTCTGGGAGCTGAGAAGGTATGTAATATTCCTAGTTCATCACAGAAGCAATTAAAGCTATCATCAATGAATTCCCCACCATTACCACTCCTAATGCTCTTGACTACACAATTATTTTGATTTTGAACTAAAGTGACAAAGGACTTAAACTTGGAGAAGGCTTCATCTTTGGATGACAAGAAAAACACCCAAGTGAATCTAGTATAGTCATCAACTATGACAAGCACATAAGATTTGCCACCAAGACTCTGGACATTGGTAGGTCCAAACAGATCCATATGCAACAGTTCAAATGAAGCTTTAGATGTAATATCCTGTTTACTTTTAAATGATTTTTTACAGTGTTTTCCTAGAATGCAAGCTTCACAAGTGAATTTGTCTGATGCTTTGATTAAGGGCAAACCTCTAAAAATGTTGAGTTTAGAGAGTTTAGCAAGTCTAGACATGCTCATGTGTCCTAGTTTTCTATGCCAGTTGATCACTGAATTAGATATGGAGCTCAAACATATGTACTCAGAGAGGTCAAGAGTGGATAAGTCAACAGTATATACATTGTTAATTTTCTTTCCTTTGAATATAACTGCATTGTCAGAGATGCGTTCAATGATGCAACAAAATGGATCAAATGTAACTCGATAGATGGACCCACAGATTTGACTAATTGAGAGCAAATTGTGCTTTAATCCATCAACATAGAGAACGTCCTCAATTATTAGGGAGGAATTTCCACTAACATTTCCCTTTCCCAAAACAGAAGCACAATTATTATTACCATATAAAACTTTACCTCCTCTTTTTGGGTTTAAAAAAGAAAATAGATCTTTGTTACCTGTCATGTGGTGAGAGCATCCAGAATCTAAGTACCAGATGTTACCACCTTTATTGTTCTGAAATGAAAGGAATTTAATTAGAAGTTTTAACAACCCAAACAGGTTTGGGTTTTGGTTTCCTGTAGAGACAGTGAGAGTGTTTGTGACCAGACATATTACAATTAGAACAGAACAGTGAAGATCTCCTAGAGTCAGACATGTTTTTGAAGTTCAGATATTTATAAGATCCATCAAGGGTGTGAAATCTACGATCTGGATGGAATCTTCTAGTGTTTTTACTCCACACTTTGTGACATTGATTAATTTGCCTCTTAAGCTCTTTGTTTTCAACTATGAGATTTGCTAGTTGAGTGACTTGAGTGATTTGAGCAGCTTGTTGATTATCAACAAGCTTCTTAAGTCTACAGATTTCAGTTTCCTTCTCATGCAGTTGAGTAACAGTGAGACAAAATTTGCTTTTCAGCAAGTTGCATTCATTTTGAATAGTTGATAATGCATGAAGAAAGAAGTCTTCATTGCACGTTTCTGAGACAGTGTCTGAGAAGGAATTAGACCATACCTTTTCAGTAGTTGTGTCCTCTCCTGTGCTGGAATTGAGTCCCATGTAAACAACCACTTCAGGTTCATCTTCAGAGCTGTAGTCGCTCCATGATGCTGTCATTGCTTGTTCTCTCTTTTTATTTAGTGGGCAATTTGCTCTAATATGTCCTGTTTTGCCACATTTAAAACAGATAGTTGAGTAAGATTTGTCATTTGAGTTCTTAAAGTCTCTAGGACCAGAGTCTGATCTGTTAGACAAAAATGAATTTTTATCATTTGCTCCACCAGAATGATGTCCAGAAGATCTAGGGGCATTATGTGCCATGTTCCCTGGGGATCTAGAAGAGTATGCATTACTTCCCTTTTTTGCATTAATGTCATGTTTAAATCTCATCATTCTTTGAAGTTTCTTGCTTGTGAGGGCAAGTTCATTTTCAAATTTTTCATCTAACTTTTCATCTTCTACAGTGCATACAGATTGAAAAGCAATTGTTTTGTTTTTCTTGTCATGAAGAGAGTTCATTTGTTTGAGAACTTCTTCATGACTAAGAGGAGATCCAATGAGATTTTCAAGTGAGAGGACATTAAGGTCCTTGGCTTCCTCAATGGCTGTTCTTTTAGCCATCCATTCAAGAGGAAGAGACCTAAGCACTTTTCTAACGAGCTCCTTGCTAGTGAATGATTTTCCTAGTCCCTTAAGTCGATTGACTAAGGTGGAAAATCTCTTATCCATTTCTGAAATGGATTCACCAGAGATCATGTCAAAGGTTTCATATTCTTTTAGCAACAAATCAATTCTGGTTTCTTTAACTTCTGATGTTCCTTCATGAGTAGTTTCTAGATTTGACCATATTTCTTTAGCAGATTCACATTTGTTCACCCTTTCACCCTCATCTTCAGATATAGCAGAAAGCAAGATATGCATAGCCCTAGAGTCTAGTTGAGCACTTTTCTTTTGTTCATCTGACCATTCCTCCTCATCATCTTCTTTCATGTCAATTGGTCCATTTCGAACAATTGCCCATAAATCACAGTCGATTCCTCGGAGGAAAAGGCGCATTTTTTTCCATACAGAGTAATTGGAACCAGAAAACCACGGAGGGTTTGAGCTGGTTGGGAATGAGTTTGAAGACATAGCTGAGCAGAGGATCTCCTTCTCAACAACACTTAGTTCTTATGAGAAGGAGGCTCTAATACCAATTGTTAAAATGCTATGTGTTCAATCCCATTAACTTGACTGGATTAATCTGATTACAGAATCTATAATTCAATCTAGCAAGGGTACAGTCTCAAGTAGAAAGATAAGATTTAGATTGAAGCCCTAATAAACTCGATCATGAGTTCTGAAAACAGAATACAACCCTAAATCGAAGACGATCAAGGACAGAAAAGAAACAAGAAGAAGCCACGCCCAGATAATCTTGAGTTCCTGGCTCAAAGCCCCAACTCAAGTTATCCAGACACAAACACTGAACCCAAACCAGAGACTCCCTAGAACTAAACCATTTCTTACTGAGTATCAGGAAAACGTTACTCTTCTTCTTCCTTGGGAGATCTTTATATAGCCTCAGAAGTGCAGGTCTTCTGACTCTCTTCTTCAATGCTGGTTCCGTTGGGCAGAATTGATGGTGGTGACGATCGATGCATCGATGACTCAAGTTCGAGGGATCGACTTCTCTTTGTCGATGCTGATGACAGTGGGAAAGATGATGATGCGCTATTGGGCTCTTGTCGAGGTCTGAGGTGATGTAGCAACTAGGTTAGGTGGGCTTATGAGCAGCTGGGCCTTTTGATTAAGTGAAAGAGACGAGGCAAGGCCCAACAATTGCCTTATAGCTTTCTCCATGAACCTGGGCATATGTTGAATGACTCGGACCGAGCCAAGAGGTGAGGTGGAGGGTTTACAACTTTAATGGGATTTGGGTTTAGACAGGTCAAAGTGGAGCTAGACTCTCGATATAGCAGCAGAAGCAATCATGAAATTCGACCATCCAGACGTTGCCGACGCCGATGACTGAGATCTTGGTGTGCCCATTTTTGAGGATTGGCGGGGTGATGTTCTGGATTTGATTTGGAGAAGGATTGGGTTAGGTTAGAGTTCCAATTTTGATTGTCCATTTACCATTTGGATTGAAATACAAAGAGCCGCGTGGATTTATGGTAATTATGGAGGACGGCGGAATGTAGGGGAAGAAGTGGAGCGGGGAAGAAGAAGCAGTTTCCTGAGAAATTATTGAGTACTCCGAGTGTACCACGTCATTCTGCTGACATGGTACTCCCATCCACTAATTGCTTGCCACCTGTTATATTCGTTGCTATTTCTCTTTTTTTTTTTTGTGTTACGCTCTCGTTTCTTTTTGTACTTCTCTTCTTTCCACATTAAGTTCCCACTTCCAAGTTCCAATACGGCCCTCTCTTACACCATCTCTCTCTTCTATGTTTCTCTCACTTCTCCCTCTCCCGAACTAAAACAAAAGCACTGCAATCTCATCACCGGCTGCCGTAACCTTCTCCTGCATTTCTCTGGAGAATGACGAAGGAAAGGGGAGAAATGCAGCAGCCTTATCCCATCCATCTTTCTCGACTCGTTGCTTCTTTTTTTCCTTCTTGCTGTCGGCTTTAAGCAAAAAAAAAAAGCAAAAAAAAAACAAAAAAAAAAAAGCTCCGATTTATCAGATTCAAACTTGATTGCTCACTATCTTTTAAGCTAATAGAGTTTCTGGGATTTTTAGCTAGCTTACTGGTTGTACGTGCTTCCAGTTTTTGGGACTTTTTTTCCTCACCTAAAAAAAATATGAGTTCAAGAACAGAGGAAGTTCTGAACTTTTTGGAGATGATTCTTATTATGGAATAAGCATAATCTATTGAAAACTCTAGATTGAGTTCTAGTTTTATATACATTTCCGGGCACTTCCAAGTTATGATTATATTCTTTAATTTTTTGTTCAAGAGCTCCAATTGATGAATATGGGTTGTTTGAAGGGAAAGAGAAAATGAATTAAGAAGAGAACGGTTTCCAATTCCATCAATAAAAGAGAGAGAAGTATTAACTATGGGGAACAATTAAAAGAGGAAAGAGACACTAACGAACAAAATGGTATAAAAATAATTATTTATCACGGTTAGCATTGAATATAACGGGTGGCAAGCAATTAGTGTATGGGAGTACCATGTCAGCAGAATGACGTGGTACACCCGGAGTATCCAATAATTTCTCCAGTTTCCTTCTCTGTAATTGGGATCCCAGTCGCAACCCAATTCAGTTTGTTTATATTTTTTTTTAATTATTTTGTTAAGTGTCAAGAAAAAATAAATAAAAATTACACGTCACATATCATATCAATACGTATTAGACTTTTTGTTTAAACTAACAGTCAACGTTGGTCAACACTGAAAGAAAATAGTTCAAGATATTATTGGAATATATTTAATAAAATATAACACATATAATATTTTGTTGATAGTTCAGGTGTAATAGTGGTATTAACCCTAAAATGTATAACATGCGTAAATCAAATCTCTAATCATTCTCTTCTAACTTAATACTTTTATCCCCGGATGTAGTGATGACAATTTGAACCTGCCCTGCGGGTATTACCCAACATGATCCGTGATGGGGCGCATATTACCCGGCCGCCCGCAGTAGCATGGGACAGGGCATGGTCGCATGAGTATCTACGTCCGACCCAACCCGCCCTGCCACACCCCGCCCCATTCTAGACTCACTTTATCTCAATTTCTTACAAGGCGGATATATATTTCTCCTATTTTGATTTTTATTCAACTAGTCAGAGTTTATTTTTCAACTTGTTTGACTCGATTACCCATTCTACTATCAATATTTTTCATTCATTAAGTGTTTTTCCCTTTTTTTATCGTAAAAATGCGTGTATTTTTTTCAAATAACATGTAAGTGTGTGTCGACCCGCCCCACCCCGTACCAGCGCGGGTTTTACCCGCCCTGACCTATAATAGTGTGGGACGGGACATTGGAATTGAGGTACCCGACCCGCCCCGTCCCGCCCAATTGCCATCACTACCCGGATGCAAACAACACAATTCAGCTCCTCTCTCTCTTCCCGGATGCATAAGATGAAGACCATAATTGTATTAGTTAATTATTTGTATTATTAAATATTTTTATAGTCTTATTTTTAATAAATTATATCATTATTTTTTATTTCTATGCATTGAAATATTTATTTATGTATTTATATATAAAAAAGGATATATATATATATATATATATATAAAGTTTTATAAACAAAGGTTGTGGTCGTTTATTCTTATGCACTAAAACACTTTTTCTCCGATGCCGTCGGAATCTGCTGCATTGATGCCTCACAGGAACGAAGAGAGATCAGAATAATACTATAATTAAAAGCATACATAGGAAAAAACAACGAACAATTAATATAATATAACTTACTGGAGTAAGCATTTCGCAGTCGACATTGTATAGTCACATTGTGATTATCTCCAATTTTGTAATATTTTCGCTCCCTTCTTTGCAGATCTTGTCACAAAAAAAAAAAAAAAAAAGAAGTTGCGCAATTATTATACTAGAGAAACGTTTATAAACTGTGCGATTCTTAATTACACCTCACTTATGAAATCATGCTGACGGAGGGAGCAGTCATTCAGCTTAAATAACGGGTTACAGTATTATGTGCAATATTTTGGAAAATGATTTCTCTATATAGACTTCGATTTTGTTTCGAGCTACGAGAGTTTTGCAGAGACGGAGCCAAGAACCTAGGTTTTTTTTCCCTTCGAGAAGCTAATTTTACGTATACAGAGTGTGATTCTTAAAAGTTTTTTTTATTCCCTTTCTAAAGTGAACATGAGTATCTTTGTATTCGTAAAAATAAGTTAAGGTTTCATGTTGGCGTGATACATAACCAACCAACCTATATGGATAGTTTTGATAATAGCCGTTTTCTCTTGTGCATGGAGTTTACCTATGCAAGTTTACTGTGTTGGCGGATAAATATAATTTTCTAAAGTCCGCAACGGAGCACAAGGCGGATAGTACTATAGAAAAGATGAGTGAAAACCCTATTAGGAAAGAACCAGTGAAAAATATACTATTTTAGACTAAGTATTATGATAAAAAGTGGGTTAATTGCATGGTTGTTCACTGAGATAACAAAAAACGTTCAAGTTTGGTCACTCGAAATATTTAAATCCATTGGTGATATTTCAATTTACTGAAATCGTTCACGTCTGGTCACTCTTCATCCAATTCCGTTATCTTTTGCTTAGGTGGCGGTCAATGAGTGACCGAACGTGAACGGTTTTAGAAGCAGGATTGGTATTGGGGATTAGATGAAATTTGAATTTTTATTTATTTTAAATAAAAGTGATAATGAGGTGGAAATGAGATGGCAATTTTGAAAATTTTAATTTTATTATTTTTAAATTGCCACATCACAAATTTAACGGTCAACTTTTATAGTTGACCTCCACGTAAGCAAAAGTTAACGGAGTTGGACGGAGAGTGACCAAACGTGAACAGTTTCAATTAGTTGAAGTACCACCAATGGTTTTAAATATTTCGAGTGACCAAACTTGAACGAATTTTGTAATCTCAGTGACCAGCCATGCATTTAACCCATAAAAAGTGTATTGATTTTCCATCTTTATCCTCAAATACACTAGATTTGCTATGTGAATGCTCAAAATGTGTTTGAGTACTACTTTATTACTATGTTACGCATTTGGTAGCGTTTTGTGCATTTTTTTCGAATCAAACGCTGACTCTAAGGGAGCGGTTACGGTGCTAATTGTACAATAGTTAGCACCGTCCTAACCAAGGGAAAAACTACTACTAGTTTGAATTAGTAGTGATTTAGCTTAGAAGTTGTATTGATTTTATAATAATCCGTAGTGATTTCGTTATTTTTAGTAGCGTTTTTTGCTAGTTATCACGGTGCTAACCCCTATAGCACCTAATCCCATCCCCGACTCTAAGCATTCAGAGCACCAATCTCCTGCTTCCGGATCGATCAAATCTGAAACCATCTCATTGCCAACGTAATTAAAGCAAGGACTGCTTTACAGTGCCGCACCAGCCGGTAGAACCGGGAAAACCGGAAACCGGGCAAGTCCCGATACGGTAGCTGATATTCCGAGAAATAAGAGTGCCAGCCGGTATTTTCCATTGAACCGACCTTTCGCGAAATACCGGCCGGTTTCGATTCAGCCGGCGGGTCTTCAATTCCTTCTCCCCTGTTGTTCGTCATTCGTCTTTTCCGACCGTTGACCGTCAGCCGATTCTTCTTGAAGCCTCGCTGGTCGTTCCCATAGACAGGCCTATGGAGAAATCACAGAGGAGAGGAGGTGAGAAGATGAAGAAGATCTCGACGCCATAATCTCCGTCACAAACGATGATGATCTCGTGCACACGATGGTCGAGGAAGACCGCCTCTGCCGCGGTGGCGCTACCAGCAAGTCGGCCAGTGGTTCATCGACGCTTTGAATTTCGTCCCCGTTGGCGGCTGTGTTGCCATCTCAAATCAAATGCAATCCCTTCTCCGCCTCCTGCCATTATTCCCTTCCATCTCCGCCAAAATCATATCGTTGAGCGACGCCATAAATTGAAATTGGAACCGTGAGGACGGAGGAGGCGAGCAGGGATGCTGGATTCTCAGCTTAATTAATGAAGAGAGGGTGATTTTTGTTGAGTTGGGCAAATCCACCATTGAAGAAAGCTCTGGAATAGTTGGTGGGGAAGGAATACGAAGTGCAAAGGAGAGTGAAACATAAAGGAAAAGTGACGAAGGGAAAGTAAAAAAAAAAAAAAAAACTCGATTGGAATAGAATGGAAGGTAGACAGCTGTCACAGACTAGAGAAGAAAGAAACGCATAAGTAATGGTGATTTTTTTTTGGTAAATACAATTTAATATCCAAACCTTTCATTTTAAACAATATAATAACCAAACCTTTTCGAAAACAATCTAATATCCAAATAGTCAATTTTACGTTCGTTTGACCGTTAGTTTACACTTCAAAAAAGCTTTGTTTAGGTGAAATTGTCACAATACAACTTTGTTTCTTGTTTTAGCATTGCAGATGACTGAATATTTAGATATTCTATACCATCATGGTGGAGTCATGGACTTCTCGGGTTTGGAACTACGATATGTTGGGTGTTTTTCGGAGAAGATATCGATGGATATTGATGAAGTGTCGTACTTCAAACTTTTTTGAAGTGTCAACTAATGGCCAAACAGACAGAAAGTTGACGATTTGGATATTAGATTGTTTTCGAAAAGGTTTGGCTATTATATTGTTTAAAATAAAATGTTTGGATATTAAATTGTATTTACCCTTTTTTTTTGTCAAAGATGGGTAAGGAATTGAGGATTTAGAAAATAGTAAAATACCAAAATAGTATTTCCTTAAATTATATTTATATAATAATAATTAAGAATAATAAAATATTGACGTTTTGTTCACGCTCTCAAATTTGAATTCTTAATAGATTGGCGCTCTGACGCTCTCCCTCTTGCTCCCGCTCCCGCTCTCGCTTCACGCTCTGGTTACCTAAGTTGGGAGGCGGTATAATCCGGTTTTATTCCGGTATTTTCCCGGTATGGTACGGTTTTTTAACAAAAAAATAATTTTTTTATTTCAAAAACGGTATTTACCGGTAGGAAACGGTTGAACCATGGTTGTACCACGATTTACCATGCCAAATACGATTCCGGTTTGATGTCCGGTACGGTTTCGTAATCCATGAATTAAAGGAGCTCCCACTCGCAAACCTGGCCGTGCAGGATGAAGTATATAAATAACTTCTAATCTTTTTAAGTGTTTGTTAAACAGGACCATATCGATGGTCTAAGTGGAAAGATCAACTATGAGAGCTCAAATCCCTAAAGAATTTTACTGGTATGAAATGGTTAAAAGCACAGTCAAATCACGATTTAAGCAAACACACCCTACCAAGGCTGAATCGCAATTTTATATCACCCATTTTATCAATATTACTCAATTCACCTACGATTAAAGAACTAAAATAATTAAATTATTTTACTATTACAAACAATAACATATAGGGTGTGCCTATGGTGACGTGCATGTCACCGTGACATGGACATTTCGGTTGACCTAATCGTAACAACGGTCGATCGAATTGACTAATTTGGGCACCCTGAGAACTCATCGCGGTTGACCTCAAAGATCATATGGTCGACCGTTTGCAGTTTAAGTTGTTATTTTTGGTCGACCACAATAAAACCTCGGTCGCCCTTTTTGTTGGCGTCAGAAGCAACATGGTCGATCGTAATTCAGAACGTGAGTGAGTCGAATTAAGTGGTAGATAAGTTAGGGTTACCTTTCTAGTGTTGGAGTCTTATCCAATACGGATACGGTGTGCATGCGGTCGACCTATTAAGTGCAAAAGGGTCGGCCTATGAGGTATTTGGGTCGACCTTTCATTTTGTTCGACCTCCAAAGAGGTCGACCATTTTATATAGATGGTCGACCGCGTCGCTGAACCTCACATAACTGAAGCAGCACATTCGGTCGACCGAAAAGTCCATGTTACGATGACATGCATGTCACCGTAGCAAAGTCCTAACATATATATATACACACTTTTCAATTTGCCTTTTCTCTCCACTTTTTCACATATTTTCCCAATAAAAATACATTTTCCTACAATTTTTTCCCTTCAAATTTTCCTTACTACGGAATTCCCCCCCCCCCCCTTCTCATTTTCCTTAACCTCTTCGGCATAGAAGTGATAAAATCCCGAGCTCGTGAAAGTTTAGGTTCTTTTGTCAAAGTCGCGCAGCAACAACTCAGTCTTTGATAGCTCGAATCGACCTTCAAACAAACATAAAAGTAAAGGGATACGTGGGGATAGATACTAGCCACAATCAAGTGTGATCACCTGAATGATAAGAGCCTTGCCAAGCTCTTCTGAATTCTTCATCAGAAAAAATCAAACAAGGATCTTGCCCTAGCTATGGAATCCACCAATAGTTAAACCAATAAATCATAAGCACGACGGCTCCATGGTAAAAACACATCTCGTTGTAAAAACTAATCTCCAAATTCGTATTCAAAACTCTTTAAATAGGTATGGAAAAATAAAACTAATGAAAATATAGAAAAGAAAAACGAATCTGAAACAAAAAATGAAGTTTAACTCGTCAAGCCCAAAAACCCGTTCGGGGATTTAGCTGCACCAGTCGAGGGTGCTTTTGACTTCATTCCTCAGCCGAGGATCTCTATTGTGTAGACTAACATCAGTCCCTCCCTATTGAGGAAGTTTTCCCTTAAATCTTTCCAAGCCGACTTCCAAGCGAAATTCTCTAAAGTCCTCCAGTAAGGTTCACCGTATTCTTCTCTCTTCTTCCTATACTTGGACCGACAAAGAAGAAAATCATCCACAGAAAGATGAAAGTTACATCCCTGCTCCTCTCCCGAAAAGCCTCGAACCCAGTCTGCATACTCTGCAGTCTTCGTTCCTTGTTTTGTAGCGACAATCCTCAAAACTTGTGGAATTCTGCAAGAAAAATCATCATAAAAAGGATCGCGATAAACCATATGCTCCTTTTTCCAACGTGACCACCTCATTGAAACCTCCATCCTCCTTTTGCAACTATGGTGTTGGAGAAACCACTCTGTTTTCTTCAAGGAACGCGCCAAAAGTTGTAGCAATCCCTTTTCTCGTACTCTAGCTCAACGTTGACTTCATCAAATGTCGAACCCTGTTGCACGCGAGAACTCAAACTCTATCTCTGATCAGCCATGATTTGCAGTAAAGCTCCAATTAGAGGTGGCAATTGGATCGGATTCGTGGATTCGTGGATTGAATTGGTGGATCCATAGATCGAATGGATTGGATCAAATGGATTGGTGGATTGATCCATGAATCCAAATGACATCCAAGGCTTGGATCAAAATGTAAATTTTGAAAAGTTTAGGTACTAAAATGTCATAATGAAAAATTTTAGGTACCAAAATGTAATTTTCCAATGATATTTTTCGTATAAAATAAAAAATTTAGGTACCAAAATGTAAAATATAAAAATATAGGTACCAAATCGTAATTTGTCATTTGGATCCATGGGTTCCATGAATCCACCAATCCAATTGGATTTGGATCAAATGGATTGGATTTAAATGGATTGGATTAGGTGGATAATTTGGTGGATGGATTAGATTGAATTCATGGATTTGGATCCTAATCGCCACCTCTAGCTCCAATATATGCCATCAGTGTTGCAAGTGATTTTGTGTATTCTTGTTCTTCCTCGTAGTACTCTCACTGTAATCGTTTCAAAGCCTTCCAATCATCATCAGCTTGCTCTGGGGATAAAGGATTAAAAATGAAGTCCTTCTACTGATGCTTCAATCGGATGCTTTTGGAACTTCTGTTGACCAGATGAACTCCACGATCTTGAAACCAGGTTTGTCCCAACACAATTTGATTTGTAAGTTTGGGCACCACATCGCATAATACCTCGTCTTCATATATGCCAATCGCAAACTTCTTAGAAACCTATCCAACCACGATGTTTGATATCTTCTCGCCAGGAAACTGTAGAATGTATGGAGATGGATGTCGACGCATTGGTAGCCCCAATTTCATCGTTGTTATTGAACTTAACAAATTTGATTTGATACCTCCATCTACAAGCACATAATACACCTTCTCTTGAACTAAACAACGAGTATAGAACGGATTACCTTGCTCTATCGCTTACGCCACTGCTAGATCTTCTTCTTCTTGCCACTGATTTGAACTGGAACTCTGATACCACCTGATAAGATCCCCGAGCTCATGAAAGCTCAAGTATTTTTTGTCAAAGTCGCGCAGCAACAACTCAAGTTTGGATAGCTCGAATCGACCTTCAAACAAACATAAAAGTAAAGGGATACGTGGGGATAGATACTCACCACAATCAAGTGCGATGGCTTGATTGATAAGAGTCTTGTCAAACTCTTATGGATTCTTCAACAGAAAAACTCAAACAAGGATCTTTCCCTAGCTATGGAATCCACCAATAGCTAAACCAATGCACCTTAAGCACGACAGCTCTATGGAAAAAACACACCTCTGTGTATAATTTTTATTCAACAAAGTCTAACCTCTAAATTAGTGTTTACAACCATCTAAATAGGTGTGGAAAATAAAACTAATGAAAATATAGAAAAGGAAAATGAATCCTAAACAAAAGAGAAAGTTTAACTCGTCAAGCCCCGAAACCCGGTCACAATCCCCAGTCGGAAATTTAGATGCACCGGCCGGGGGTGATTCCGACCTCATTCTCCGGTCACATTACTTGATACTCCGGTCGGGGAATTTTGATCATGCCGCCCGTGGAACTTTGCTATGAGGACTCACATCAAGAAGGCTAATCTCAATGATGTCATAACCAAATAGGAGTTTGAACCAATAGAATAAGTGGTTCGCATTTTACTGGCTAACGAGTATCAAACTGTTAATAAACATATACCATATAATAAGAGAAATATAAGTAGAACATACAATAATAACATGATAAACACGATAATGTAATCGTGAAAATATGAAATGACCTAAACTATTATTAAAAATTTAAGCAAACAAATACTGTTATCATATGTGAATTTAATTTTTAATGACTTAATACATAGCTAATTATTTTATATTTTAAAAAATTCATAATATGTTTAATAACGAACTTGTAGAATAGTAGGTAATCAATTCATACATGTATAGAACATGTTCTGTGTTCAAATCTCCACCTCACATATTTTAAATATCACAAGCATTTGAAAAGAGGTCGAATTGGTAAAAATCGTCCAAACATCTTCAACGGTGGTAAATCACTCAGATGCTTAGTTGTTAGCCGACCGCGTTCTTAATTAGTAGTTACAACTGCCACTCGGACCGAATAATTGGTCAGTTGTCGATTCAACTGGTCAAACCAGCCGATCAGGTTAAGCTTTACTGCTAAATCTACTATAATCGAAATAATAAAATTATGTTGGAATAATCAGAACAGCTACTACAAGGCACATCAATATATATAGTAGTGTAGTATTAGTGTTGGAACAATCAACAACAATAGCAACGCAATGGGGGGAAAATAATGAATTAGTTTATACAAAACGATAAAATTAATGTTGGCACAATCAACAACAAGAACAGGCCATTGTTGTTTAGGTGAATTATAACAAAAACATTGTTCAGATTCTTGAAAATTATTATATATAAAGTTGAAGGTTAGTTACTGTTGCCTAAAAATATAGTATTTTGATACCTCAAATTTTATTAAATTATAACTTAATCACTATAATATATATTTTATATTTTAATACCCAAATTTAATTTTAGTGTAAAATTATTGAACAATTATGTTTTGTTATCTAAATTTTATGAGATTTGAGTACCTACAATTTTTTAAGTTTACATATTGGTCCAATGTTTTGATTTATCTAAGTTTTATGAGATTTGAGTACCTACAATTTTTTTAAGTTTACATATTGGTCCAATTTTTAGATGTAACTTGAATACATGAATCCGGATCCACCAATCCTTTTGAACCAATCTACGAATCCAATCCACCATAACATAAAAGTATAAATTTAGTTTGTACAATACAAGATGTTGTATCACTCAACTGTCGGACATTGCTCATTACGTGAAACATTAAATAAATGATAAAAGAGAGACGACTCTAAAATATTGCAAGAGCGAATTTATAAACTCATTTAGTACATTTACGGGGTACTAAACAAACTTCTACTAACTACATGTAACAAAATATGCGACATCTATATAAGCAAGTGTCAATGAATTGCTACGGTGAAATGGGTTGACTGTTGTATTGACGGCCAACTAAAATAATTGGTCAAAACCTTTCCATCATCTACTTACTCTTCGTTTCATTTTTCACTCGCCTTCCATAACCCTAATTAGTATACTATATTTACGTATTCTAATCACAAGTATGAACGGGTCCATACACGACTCACCAACAATCTAGAGAATTAATAATTGAACCATGAACCACTAACTTTTTCAGCTCAATGTACTGTCAAGTCTAATTAAAAATAAATATATATGGTTATTACTTATTAGAAATTCGTCATTTTCCACTATGAGATTTGGAGCCTTGAAATTTTAAGAGAGTTCCAGTTTGTATTCCTTTTGATTCTCTCTAGAGTTTTTCTTTGGCTAGATTTTTCAACTATTATACATGGAATGTTTAGTTAGGTATCTACACATATCAAATAAATAGTTTCCTATTTTCTATAAAAAGGTAAATAATTATCATCTTAAATACATAGTCATAAAATAAACTAAGTCTCAACTACGCAAATTATAGTTTGGTACCTAAACTTGATAGATCTTTAGATTTACAACCTAAATTAATTTTTTTGGCATATAAGTCCTCAAAATATTGATGAAACATTACATTTTAGCACCTAAAATTTTTGTGTATTACATTTTGATACCTAAACTTTTGAAGTTCTACAAATAGGTCTAATTTTTGTGTGTAATTAAAATACCCTCGAATAAATGGGTATTCATACCCAACTCATACACATTTAGATTATGAAAGTAAATATCCATACACTACCCAACCCCATCAACAAACTTCCAAACCCATATATACCTCACCCATACCCTACCCATAATCAATGGGTCTACTTGGGTCAAGGTAAATATAATTTATTAGCCAAAAAATTTAAATTTTTTTAAATTGGATGTTTACCGTCATATATCTCTTCTTAGTTAGTTGTCGATTCAACCGGTCAAACCAGCCGGTCAGGTTGAGCTTTACTGCTCAATATACTATAATCGAAATAATAAATTATGTTGGAATAATCAGCAACAGCTACTACAAGGCACATTAATTTAGTAGTGTAGTATTAGTGTTGGAACAATCAAAAACAATAGCAACGGAATGGGGGTGAAATAATGAATTAGTTTATACAAAACAATAAAATTAATGTTGGCACAATCAACAACAAGAGGGAACGGCTACGGTGCTAATTGTACAATAGTTAGCACCGTCCTAACCAAGGGAAAAACTACTACTAGTTTGAATTAGTAGTGATTTAGCTTAGATGTTGTATTGATTTTATAATAATCCGTAGGGGTTAGCACCTAATCCCATCCCACAACAAGAACAGGCCATTGTTGTTTAGGTGAATTATAACAAAAACATTGTTCAGATTCTTGAAAATACAAGTATATCTACTAAGATAATAAGGAAATGGGAAGCTAAAAACTTGAATCCCACCCTTGGATTAAGAAATTTGCGGTCTAATTTTGTTACAGTACTCTCTACTTGATAAGGAGAATACTATTTATGATAGGCACCAAATTAGTCTATATGTATTGAATCATCTGTCACCATATTTTGGTTAGCAGTTATGTTTTTTGTGTTTATGTTAGTTTCCAAGAAGAGTGTTAGAGTATGATTAGTATTGTCATGTAATTTTATTTTCAAAGACAGTACTATGGTTTCTTTCGATCAAGATTAGTCCAGGTTTGATAGAGTTATGGAATTTTGCACTTTGTCATAGGTTTGGTACTTCAAAGCTGCATTTCTTTTCGCGCCCCGTATATCGGTATAACATGGATACCTCTTTTGTAGCAAAAAAAAAGTCCTTAAATCATTAGTTCATACACTTGTCGACCAATGTTTTTTTTTCTTTCTTCCTTCCAATATTATGCGACAATACATGAACTGCAAATTGATCCACCAAACACACAAGAGTGAAAGACTTAACCTCCAACCGTATTGTCGACATAACATAACCAGATACAATAATGTGTCGTCGATGCATCAAATATAATCTCTTCAATGAAAGCCAAATGAGAGTGAAATGTTGCAACAGTAATACCATAAGGGTGCGACGTACCATTGCTACGGAAACATCGATCGGCCAAGGTATACCACGTCCAATACAGAATGCCCACAATGTCGCTAGTCTGACGTAACCTTTGGATTCCGCAAACTTTATAATTACAAGAATTTATGTGAATAAAGATTATTAATTAATATAGAATTAACGTATATATGCACAAAGGTTGTGGTCGTTTATTCTTAGGCACGATATATACTTTGCCTCCAAAGCCGTTGGAATCTGCTGTGTTGATGCCTTACAGGAACAAAGAGAGATCAGTATAATTAAAAGCATACATAGTGATTAATATAGAAAGTTTCGTATGCGTACAAGCAAGGTTGTTAACCCGCGGGTCGACCCGGATTAGCCCGGACCCGGCCAAAAAAATGGGTCATACCAACCCATTTTCATGTCAGCCCGGAAATGGTCAAACCCGGAGAAACCCGGTCAAACTCGGGTTGACCCGGCCGGTTAGCCCGTTGGAGCGGGTCAACGGGTTGCTCTTCCTGAGCCCCGTTGGCCGTTGCGTCGCCGTTTCTGCGGACTCCGCCTCTGCTCGGCCTCCGCCTCCGCCTTAAATTTTTAACTATGATGGATTTAAGTTGATGTTATGTGAATGATTTAAGTGTTGTTGAATTTTTACTATGTTGAATTCAAGTTGATGTTATTTAAGTGTGTTGGAGTTGAAGTAGTGTTGCATTTTTTATGTTGGATTCAGGATAAGTATAATATAATTACATTTTCCATTTTTCCGGGCTAAAACGGGTGACCCAATGACCCATGACCCACTAGTTCGTCCGGGTCCGGGTCGACCCGCGGTTTGACAACCTTGCGTACAAGGCATTTTCACAAGTTACAAAGTAAGCCGGTGATGGATTACAGAGTGTAACTTTTTTAACAAAATATTGTTGATTTTGGATTTAGACTTTTACGGGTTTTTTCTTTAAGTACATATTAAGGTGATTTTTCATAAGGTTATCAATCCTTGCAGTATTTTATATTGAGCACGTTTAATTTCAGAATACTTACTAGAACTCTTTCACTTCACCCAAAAATGCATTTTATCAGTTAATGTCGGTTTGTTACTTATAAATCGTATATCTCTCTCATACTTTGTCGACGTGGAATTTTCCCATATGGTGTCACATACCCCCCCCCCCCCCCCCCCCCCCCCCCCCCCCCCCCCGACTTAACGCCATCGTTGTGGTTTGCGGCTAATCGATTCGGGTTCGATTAACCTCCTACCGATATTGGCGGTAATCTGTTAACCAATAAGAAAACAACTCATAACGATAAGCCTTATCGGTTAACCACCTTTGTTGGTTTGGTTAGCGGTTATTTTGTAGGTTAACCAGTAACTGCTCAAATACATTCCAACAAGTATCATAATTTGTAATCGAACCAATATAAGATCAATAACTTCAATTTTCTTTCACAAAATATAATAAACCAAAGCAATAACCCCTTATAATACACAATCATCATTCAGTTAAGTTTAACAAGTGTCATTTAAACATCAATTTGGTCCACAAGCATAACAATGACGAAGAGCACTGAGTAGTAAATATTAAAAATGAATAATCATACAAACAATTCAAATAATTTAATTACATTTTCATTGTTAATATAAAATAATAATGTACGAAATAATATCAATATAATACGATATTATCTTGATTCTGTAATTTAAAACAAAACTGCAGGGCATAAAATAAAAAATAATCAAACTTATCCAATTAGCGAATACTTACTACCAATACATCAAACACAAGCACCACAAGATCATCATAATCATTCACAAACATTAAAGAAACAAATGTTACTAGAGTGTGAGATTCGTTCTGATGACTGCAAGGGGAGTTAGAGAGTGTTAACTTTCGGGTTCTAACTCTTAAACACATTTGTGACTCTTGGTGGAGGGTTGTTTGCAATAGGCAGGAATGGAGATGTTTGTAATTGCGACTTTGGTTAGTTTTGAGTCTTGGAATTTTCCACTGAGCCAAAGTCCAAAGATATGTAGTTATACTATAGGCGGTTATCGGTTTTCTTTTTGATTAACCAACCACTAACCGATTGGTCGATTAGCGGTTAACCAATAACCGCTAACCAAAATACTAGTAACCAAAATAGAATTAATAAGAAATTATTGATTATCAGTTCACCACTAACTTCCTTTATCCATTCGGTTATCGGTGAAACCAATTACCGACTAACCATTTACCACCCCTATGTTTGCCCCACCATCGTCCAAGAGGGATGTGTGAGAGGCGATAATACCACTAGTAACATCACGTCCTTCTATGACCAAAATGTTATCTGCTTTGGGTCTAGACCCTCACGGTTTTTACCTTGGGGTACATATCAGGGTGACTTGTCATTAGGTCACTCATCCTTGCAGTGCTCCACAGTGAGCACGTTTAACTTCGCAGTTCTTACAAGAAATCTTCTATTCCACCCTAAAATGCATCTTGTCAGTACATATCAGTTTGTTACTTATGAATCATGGATCTCTCTCGTACTTTGTCAATGTGGGATTTGCCTAAGGCGTCACACAAGGCATTGCCAAAGAAATGGATTTACATCTAAATCAAATCAAATTAACCACAAAAACCATCAAAAAAAATATTTTATCCCTGAAATATGAATTATGTACTTTATCATATATATTTCAATTAGGGATGACAATGGATTCGGGTGTGTCGAATCACAGAACCAAGGTTTAATATTATATCCATCCTTGAATCCAAAAATAGCGAGAATGCAAAGTAGCATACCAAACAAAACCTATCCGTGTGTGGTTTGGGGAAACCATCCACACCATCCCATGATAATCATATATAATAATTTCTTGATATAAAGTAAAAATTTCTTAGAATGTCGATGTTATTTTAAGTTTGTTAAGACATTATTTATAAAAGTGAGGGAAAATCAGGAAAATATTTGTATAACAGATTATTATAATAATTGATTGATATGAATTACCGAAATATTAAAATGAGTGAGTCTAAACCATAATTATATATTTGAGTGGATTTGGTGCAAATATTTAAAATACCAGAATCTCACAAAACTCATTACCCTCTCTAATTTGTCGAGTATAGGACACACCAACTGTTTACACCATAAATTTTGTCTTGTACCATATTGGTGAGTTACAAGATAATCAAGGAGTTTATAAGGCCACACCCATTATAACAATTAATGTTGTTTAAATTGGCACTTATGGATATTGATTTTAAACCCAAGTCACTAGCTCATTAATGAGCATGGATATGATTCAATAAGGGACATGGGCCTCTCGTAAGAGGCCATGCCATGCGACGAGATGGCATGAAAATTTCTAAGTATGAGAAGTCCATGGCCATGAATGAAGAGGTCATGCCGCCTCATAACCAAGACCAAACGACACAAAAACATGTCCATCTAGAATTTAGAAGCACATGCCATCTCAAGGAAGACCTCGATACGGTCAAAAATATTCTAAGTCTCGAGAAGGGCATGCCACTTCACGAAGAGGCCATGCCGCCCCATGACCAAGGCCTAATGACTGAAAAATAAACTAAGTCTAGAAGAGGTACATGCCACTTCAAGGAGAAGCACGTGTCGCTTCATGAGAAGGGCCATGGACGCGATACAAGATGAGACGTCCATGCCACTTCACGAGAAGGGGCATTGACGCAAGAAAAGATACTAAGTATGAGAGGGCCATGCTGTGTCACGAGAAGGGCCACAGACATGACTGAGAAGTACATGGCCGCGAATGAGGAGGCCATGTCGCCTCATGATCCAAAATATACTAAGTCTGAGAAGGTCATGCCGCCTCACGAGAAGGGTCATGTGCATGATTAAGAGGTCCATGGCCGTGTCATGTGATGGCCATGGACGCGAAGCAAGAAGCATTAGAAATGATTGAAAATACTAAGTATGGAAAGGCCATGCCGCCTCGTGAGAGGGGCCTTGTGCATGATTGAGAAGTCCATGCCACTTCACAAGAGTGGCCATGGACACGAATGAGAAGGGTGTAGTGATGGAGCATTATATCACTAGTGAATATGTCTCAAGAGGTCCATGACCGTTAGACAAGAAGGCCATGGACATGAGTAAGAAGTTCATGACCGTAAGACAAGAAGGCCATGGACATGAGTAAGAAGTCCATGGCCGCGAGGCAAGAAGACCACGACCCCCTTTGCGAGACACCACATGCTCGTCAAAATACTAGCATGGCACGAGATTCAGAACAAGACCAGGCGAGGCAAGCTATACTCCAAAACCCACGACGGTTCCAAGAGAGGAACCTAGGCGGTTGAAGGAGTAACCACCACTCCGAGGAAGCAGGGAGCGGTTCTTTTTGGGAGTTATCCAAGAGGCGGTTTTCTACTGAAGAAGGGGGAGCGGTTCTTTGTAGCAGTTATCCAACAGGCGGTTTTCTATGGCGGTTACCTCCTCGGGGCTATAAATAAGAGGAGGGGTCGACAGAGACAGAGGTTCCAAAACCAACACTCTGACACACATGTCAAGTTTATCCTTTACTTTTTCTCTATCATGTAGCCATAGATGTAGTTCGTAGTTTGGAACTCTCGCCGAACCTCCATAGGAGTAAAAGTAATTTAATTTAGATCTCGTTCCCAAAAAACCATCAATCAAACACCCTCGTTCGAACTTTGTTTGAAGAGGTTTGAGGCGTGTCTTAGAAATCGTTGTCCACAGTAGTCAAAGGTGCAATCCATCTCAATTCAACAAGAGTTTTCTCGCCGGAAACAAATTTGGCACACCTGGTGGGACCTTGTGTTTGATATGATGGCTCCACGACTTAGACAACAAGATGAAAATCTTCTACAAGTCGTTATAGAAGAGGATCAAGTGACTAGCTTCAAAGTTGGTCGAGTGGATGTTGTTGCCGGAAACAATGGCGGGATGAAGGCTCTGCCATCTCCGGCAACAAGTTTGGATGAAGCAGCTTCCATCACTTCGCTCCATCAATCCATTGAGGAGGGTATGGTTGACCCCCAACAGGTAAACCGACGTTTAACTTCTCATATTAAGCTCCATGCTTCTCTTATTGAACGTATCGATTCTCTCATTGAACGTCATGATTCTCTCATTTCTTGGATGGATACATGTCTACATAATTGGTTTGGCAACTTGAGCAAGACTCAAAGCCATTTTTATGAGTCTAGACATGTTTCAAAGACATGTGTGGTTCAATCAAGGACTTTGCCAATGAATAGAAAAGATCCACCGCTAAATAGTGTTACATGGAGTGAGAATTTTTCTTCCACTGTTTGTCAAAGTGGTCGACCATGGGTAGAAGCCTTGTCGACATCGGTGACAAGCCAACTGCCTTCTCAACATGCGAGTTGTGGCCAAAATTTGGCTTGCAAGTTCAAGAACCACGATGGGGATTTGTCGGTACAAAGTGGAGTTCAACCGCCCATTCTAGATATAAGACCATCTAAGATCCATGTCGATGACGTAGGTGGTTTCATTTCATTGAAACTGAACCAAATATCACATTCTGCTCGCCCACCCCCATTGCCACCCCTAGTGAGTAGGCAAGGAGCAGATTCTAATAGACTCAAACCACCTAGAGCCCAGCAAGGGGGGCACGTAAGTTTACCACTCCACAAGATGAAATCGAGAAGACCATTTGGGGAGCATGTGATGTTTAAGAGGCCACATCAATCACAAGCAACACATGCTTGTGCTAAGCATACTAATTTGGCTAAGTTTTGAAAGGGGGCATGCCTCCAACCACTCGTAGTGGACATTGGGGCATATCTAACAAGTCACAACGCGAGAAAGCCATAAAAAGTTATTGCAGATTTGAAAATTTGGCTAATTATGGACAACACATGTCCAAAAAGTCATATGGAGTCCAAGCCACACATGTTTGTGATAAGCATGCTAGTTTGGCTAAGTCTGGATATGGGGTCATGTCAGTGTCACCCATCATGAAGTATGAAGTAGGGGGCATGTCTGGAAAGACACAACAGCCCCAAGCCACCCGTGACCTTTATAAGTGTAAAACTATGGTTAAGTCTGGACAAGAGGATATGCAACCAATCGCAAACAGTGGATATGAGGGCAAGTCCAACAAGAAAAGACGCGGGAAAGCCAAAAAGAGTTCTCGTAATGTTGAAAATTTAGCTAAGTATGGGCAAGTAGGCATGTCACCCACCATGAATAATGGAGTAGGGGGCATGTCCAAGAATCTAAAAGAATTCCAACCTACACATGCTTGTGATAAGTACGCAAGTTTGGCTAAGTGTGGACAGGGGGGCAAGTCCATGTCCATGAGTAGTAAGTTCATGCCATCAATCATGAATGATGAACATGGGGGCATGCATAAGAAGGTATCATACGCACAAACCAGACATGGCCTCCCAAAGAACCAAGGATGGTCGTGTGCTAAGGGTGGGAACCAACAAGGTTTGGAGGTTGAAAGACAAAGTCAAGTGGGCCACATGGGTGGTCGCCAACGTGTCAAGACTGGACATCGTCTCCAACAACATGAGGAGAGTAAGCATGTCTCGACCATGAGGAAACCAAGGCAGAGGAAAACCCATGGTCGTCTTGACATGTCAAGTGATGTGGCTAAAGCATATGAGCATGAGACCCCATGCAAGGCCACCAAGGCTAGACATGCTGATCATATACCACCCACTGGTAAGCTAGAAAATTCAAAGTTAATGTACGGAGAATCATGTTCCATGGAGGAAAAGAGGCATGTGGTATATGGATGGCTTGCATGTTTTAATCCATGGACTTGGCAGTGGGTGTACACCTTTGGCGCATTAGTTGTTGCCAGAGGCAATGGAGAGCAGTGATGTTTATCACTCCTTGTTATCTTAAATAAATAAATATCATATATATTAATAAATAAATAAAAGGCAATCATGGCTATATAAGAAAAAATAGAGAGAAAATAACAAAGTGGAAATTTTGAGTCGAAGTTATTAGACTTTGAGGTGAAGATCTTACCACCAGGTCGTAGTGATGGCTTGGCATACCGAGTTGTAGATTGCGTCTTGCCATGCTATACCGTGTTGTGCAAGTACCCTTCTCTCTCGTTTTTATGGACTACTCATTGAAATCCTTCTCCTATTGGGGAGCTGCCACTAAGATTCTTTTTCCTTGTCAAACAGTAAACCTTTGCTCCTTCTTGAGCTCGATAATCCGAGGTTACCTCTGCCGTCTTAGAGATCCCGAAAACCCTAGGGTTTCCGCCACATTAGCACTCTCGCCAGACGAGAGAAAAAAGTTTGTTGTTGAAGTTTGAAGAACACGTGACACATGATTCTATCACAAGCATTTGAAAAGAAGTTGAATTGGTAAAAGTCGGCCAAGCATCTTCAGCGGTGGTAAATCACTCGGATCAGTTATCAGCCGACCGCGTTCTCAATAAGTAGTCACAACTGCCACTCAGACCGAATAATTGGTCAGTTGTCGATTCAACCGGTCAAACCAGCCGGTCAGGTTCAGCTTTACTGCTCAATATACTATAATCGAAATAATAAATTATGTTGGAATAATCAGCAACAGCTACTACAAGGCACATTAATTTAGTAGTGTAGTATTAGTGTTGGAACAATCAATAACAATAGCAACGGAATGGGGGGGAAATAATGAATTAGTTTATACAAAACAATAAAATTAATGTTGGCACAATCAACAACAAGAACAGGCCATTGTTGTTTAGGTGAATTATAACAAAAACATTGTTCAGATTCTTGAAAATACAAGTATATCTACTAAGATAATAGGGAAATGGGAAGCTAAAAACTTGAATCCCACCCTCGGATTAAGAAATTTGCGGTCTAATTTTGTTACAGTACTCTCTACTTGATAAGGAGAATACTATTTATGATAGGCACCAAATTAGTCTATATGTATTGAATCATCTGTCACCATATTTTGGTTAGCAGTTATGTTTTTTGTGTTTATGTTAGTTTCCAAGAAGAGTGTTAGAGTATGATTAGTATTGTCATGTAATTTTATTTTCAAAGACACTATGGTTTCTTTCGATCAAGATTAGTCCAAGTTTGATAGAGTTACGGAAATTTGCAGTTTGTCATAGGTTTGGTACTTCAAAGCTGCATTCCTTTTTGGGCCTCGTATATAGGTATAACATGGATGCCTATTTTGTAGAAAAAAAAAAAAGTCCTTAAATCGTTGGTTCATACACTTGTCGACTAATGTTTTTTCTTTCTTTCTTCCTTCCAATATTATGCGACATGAACTGTAAAATCATCCACCAAACACACAAGAGTGAAAGACTTAACCTCTAACCGTATTGTCAACATAACATAACCAGACACAATAAATTTCATATTTATGTGTCGTCGATGCATCAAATTTAATCTCTTCAATGAAAGCCAAATGAGAGTGAAATGTTGCAACAGTAATACCATAAGGGAGCGACGTACCATTGCTATGGAAACATCGATCGGTCATGGTATACCACGTCTAGGGGTGTGCAATGGTCCGATCCGTACCGGACCACACCGGACCGTACCGGACCACACCGGACCGTACCGGACCACACCGGACCAAACCGTTGTTTATGCGGTCCGGTCCTTGGTCCTCATGAATTTTATAATTACTGAAGAAATGGTGGACCGAGCTCATATTTGGACCGGACCGAACCGAACCAAATGGACCAAATGCAAAAATGGTCCGATCCTTGGTCCTAACATGTCTTTCACTAATGGACCGCGGTTCTCATGAGTTTGGTCCGGTCCGGACCGAACCGAACCGTTGCACACCCCTAACCACGTCCAATAGAGAATGCCCACAATGTCGCTAGTCTGACTGTATGTAACCTTTGGATTCCGCAAACTTTATAATTACAAGAATTTATTTGAATAAACACTATTAATTAATATAGAATTAACGTATATATGTACAAAGGTTGTGTTCGTTTATTCTTAGGCACGATAATTACTTTGCCTCCAAAGCTGTTGGAATCTGCTGTGTTGATGCCTTACAGGAACAAAGAGAGATCAGCATAATTAAAAGCATACATAGTGATTAATATAGAAAGTTTCGTATGCGTACAAGGCATTTTCACAAGTTACAAAGTAAGCCGGTGATGGTTACAGCGTGTAACTTTTTTAACAAAATATTGTTGATTTTGGATTTAGACTTTTACGGGTTTTTTCTTAAAGTACATATTAAGGTGATTTTTCATAAGGTTATCAATTCTTGCAGTATTTTATATTATATTGAGCACGTTTAACTTCAGAATACTTACTAGAACTCTTCCACTTTACCCAAAAAGGGAAAAAATGCATCTATCAGTTAATGTCGATTTGTTACTTATAAATCATATATCTCTCATACTTTGTCGACGTGGAATCCCCCCCCCCCCCCCCCCCCCCCCCCCCGGACTCAACGCCATCGTTGTGGTTTGCGGCTAATCGATTCGGGTTCGATTAACCTCCAACCGATATTGCCGGTTATCTGTTAACCAATAAGCAAAAAACTCATAACGATATTTGTAATGAATAAGCAAAAAGCTCATAACCGATATTGGATAGCGGTTATTTTGTAGGTTAACCAGTAGCTACTCAAATACATTCCAACTAGTATCGTAATTTGTAATCGAATCAATATAAAACCAATAACTTCAATTTTCTTTCACAAAACCCCTTATAATACACAATCATCATCGAGTTAAGTTTAACAAGTGTCATTTAAACATCAAATTTGGTCCACAAGCATAACAATGACCAAGAGCACTAAGTAGTAAATATTAAAAATGAATAATCATACAAACAATTCAAATAATTTAATTACATTTTCATTGTTAATATAAAATAATAATATACAAAATAATATCAATATAATACTATATTATCTTGATTCCATAATTTAAAACAAAACTGCAGTGCATAAAATAAAAAATAATCAAACTTACTTATCCAATTAGCGAATACTTACTACCAATACATCAAACACAAGCACCACAAGATTATCATCATCATCATTCACAAACATCAAAGAAACAAATATTACTAGAGTGTGAGATTCGCTCTGATGACTGCAAGGGGAGTTAGAGAGTGTTAACTTTCGGGTTCTAACTCTTAAACACATTTGTGACTCTTGGTGGAGGGTTGTTTGCAATAGGCAGGAATGGAGATGTTTGGAATTGCGACTTTGGTTAGTTTTGAGTCTTGGAATTTTCCACTGAGCCAAAGTCCAAAAATATGTAGTTATACTATAGGCGGTTATCGGTTTTCTTTTTAATTAACATTTAACCACTAACCTATTGGTCGATTAGCGGTTAACCACTAACCAAAATATTACTAACCAACATCGAATCAATAAGAAATTATTGATTATCAGTTCACCGCTAATTTCCTTTATCCGTTCGGTTATCGGTGAAACCAATTACCGACTAACCATTTACCACCCTTATGTTTGCCCCACCATCGTCCAAGAGGGATGCGTGAGAGGCTATAATACTACAAGTAACATCACGTCCTTCTATGACCAAAATGTTATATGCTTTGGGTCTAGACCCTCACGGTTTTTACCTTGGGGTACATATCAGGGTGACTTGTCATTAGGTCACTCATCCTTGCAGTGCTCCACAGTGAGCACGTTTAACTTCGCAGTTCTTACAAGAAATCTTCTATTCCACCCTAAAACGCATCTTGTCATTACATATCGGTTTGTTACTTATGAATCATGGATCTCTCTTATACTTTGTCGATGTGGGATTTGCTTAAGGTGCGACACAAGGCATTGCCAAAGAAATGGATTTACATCTAAATAAAATCAAATTAACAGAAAAAAGAATCAAAAAAATATTTTATCCCTGAAATATGAAGTATGTACTTTATCAAATATATTTCAATTAGGAATGACAAATAATTCAAGTGTCGAATCTCAGAACCAAGGTTTAATATTGTATCCATCCTCGAATCCAAAAATAGCGAGAATGCAAAGTAGCATACCAAACAAAACCTATCCGTGTGTTGTTTGGGGAAACCATCCACACCATCCCACGATAATCATATATAAATTTCTTGATATAATTGATATAATTATAAAGTACAAATTTCTTAGAATGTCGATGTTATTTTAAGTTCGTTAAGACATTATTTATAAAAGTGAGGGAAAATCACCAAAATATTTGTATAACAGATTATTATAATTAATTGATTGATACGAATTACCGAAATATTAAAATGAGTGAGTCTAAACCATATTTGAGTGGATTTGGTGCAAATATTTAAAATACCAGAATCTCACAGATCTCATTACCCTCTCTAATTTGTCTGAGTATAGGACACACCAACTAAAGTAGTAATGGTTGTATATTGCCCAACTAAGTCATTTCTTATTCAATTTCAATGTTCAAATTATGTGACTTTTCCTTAACCACATTAATTTTCCATATAGTCAATTTCGTCACTTTTCCATCTAACATTTGTTATCCATGGCACTCCGCCCCTTCTAAATCTGCTATGGATTGTGAGGGAGGTTAAGATTTGGAGATTGCTAAGTGTCGTCCTAGTCGTTTTGATTAAAAAATAAAAATAACTATTTTATTTCTTTATTTAATTAAAATATTTTATTCTAACGAACATTTGACATCTGCTGATTCCCACCGCCATCACTCCTGCCCCCGCCATGTCCTATAACCTTCTTGGAGTTTTTTCTCCATTTAACAAGATGGCGGGGGAAAACTGGCGGTGGAAGGTTATTTGGAGAGGAGATCAGCGGTGTTGAGACGATAGGAGATTTTAGGGCGGTTTTTGTGTAAAATTTAGTTTGATTAATGAAGGATAATTTTGTAATTTTATCTTTTAAGTTAAGGCGATAATAATACAACTAAAGCGATGTTTAGCCGTCCAGTTAGATTCATAGTATAGGAGACTTAGTATACAAACCATATAATTTAGAAGTCCAATTTCATAGTATATTAAAGAGCATAATTCAAAAGCCCAAACTTAACTTGATAAAATTATGGGCTGCTAGGGGAAAAAGTAAGTAATTAATATAATTTAGTGGACAAAACATTTCGCAATCGTCATTGTATAATCCACCACATTGTGATTATCTCCAATTCTGTCATTTTTTTCGCTCCCTTGTTCGAAGATCTTGTCACAAAAAATTAAAAGTTGTGCGATTTTTTTACTAGAGAAACGCTATAAACAGTGGAATTCTTAAATAATGTTGGCGCGGAACCGTCTTTTTGCCTACAGAGTGGATTTAATTATTATGTGCATTATTTTGGAACGATTTCTATGCATGCTTGGATTTTCTTTCGAGCTGTGATAGTTTCAGCGAAGTTGGGCAATCTACCTAGGGTTTTGTTTTTTTAAATCAAAGATTGCTTGAATTACCAAAAATAACATAGATATAACATTTATAATTTCATATGAAATCAAGCGTAAAAACCAAGACTAATGAAAGGTATTGGAGATGAATGGAGACCTTTCTTAGCCACCAAATGGACTAACATATTTCTGTTTTACCTATAAAACGAACTGTAAATTGTGGGTTTGATCGCAGCAGTGATCGAATCTCTCAGAAAATAGCACCTCCCAGTGACGAATATAGAAATTTTAATTTGGGTATCCTCTTTTAAAATTCAATTATACTTTTATAAAATTAAATTAGAAAATATCCGACTTGCACTTAAATTAGAAATTGCAACTTGCACAAGTTACAACAAAATACCATGTTGTGTTTTAATATGCCAAAAAATTTGATAAAATACACTATGTGTTTACAGTGCTCAATAATTCTCTTTCAGTTGTTCTCAATAGAAATCAATAATAAATTGGTCTTCTATTCCATCATGAACTTTGTTCTTAATGTAGCCCAAAACTGAAAATATTTTTTCAACACTTGCACTTGCAACCGCTAAAATCAATACGAGTTTGACAAATAAATAAACCGATGATTACGATGAATTCACTTTTCTCATCATCATTAACTAATTTAATTCATCAATTCCTTTCAATCCAAGATATAACTCTCATAATTCTTGACACTATGATAATAATTCTCAAAGTATCGTAGAAGAAATGAGTCATAAAGATTATCAAAATAGTTAGGATAAAATTAAGGGTTATTAGCTTCTCTTTGTCAAAAGCAACACACTCATTCTATGAACTAAAACAAGTCATACAAGTCAACAACCTAGTTTTCACCTCATGAAAGCATAATTGAATTCTTGCAGTTGCATATCAAGAATAGAGTAGAACATTTCAACCTGATAGTGATGCAAAATTAGCCATATAACTTGAATTTACTAATTTGTAGACCTAAAAAGTCAATATATAAAGTTGGCATATTGGGAATTTAATTTCAGAGTTTTGAAGATTAAATGTTGAAATTAGGATTTAATTGGATTTTATTTTATATTATAATTATATTTATGTTTTAAGGGCACCAATTGGTTTGTAGCATAATGATTAAAAAAATTTCTAATATTTATAGTGGTATGAGTTTGAATAACAAAGACTATGGCCTTTTACATTCCTTCAAAATTCAAACTACAATGAGTAGATCCTCAAATTGTAGGGGGTCTTATGATCCACCAGACCACCACTATTCTAAACTCAAATTAGTATTGGGGTCATTAATTTTTTTCCAAATTTTAGGAATATCTTGGTATACTCTTAAAAGTAGGGCTCGGAATCCAGCCCCGATTTTCTGGTCAAACTGGAAACCGACTAGCTTAAACCATCTCGATTGTGACCGAAAACCGGATTCTAATCAATCCAATCCAATTTGCGATTGTAGTGTGCACAAGCCCGTTCAAATCCGGTTAAAACCAAAAAACTAAATTAAAAAAATACTCCAGCCCAGCCTAGCCACCTCGCTCAACCCACCCCAACCCATTACCGCCCTCACTCTCAGGCTACCCCCAACCCACCTCACACCGCAACCCAACTCCCATCCCCTCTCAAAATCCTAATTGACTCAAATCTCCTCTCTGCTCTCGCCTTCTCTAACACCAAACTTTCTCTTTCTTGAATCCTGACCCACCCAGTACCCACCTCCTATCTCTCGTACCTATGATTACACACACAAGAGAGAAAAATAATAAGAAGTTTTTCCTGCCGGACGCCGAAAAATCTCCTCCCTCCACCCCTTCATGTGACTCCTATCGGTGACCACCTGAGAGCCTACCATCGCCACTTCGTTCGGCCATCATCTGCTCCAAATCACATCCCTACGAAGGCGGTGACGACGAGTCGTCTCTTAGGCCTTAGCATAGTTGAGTGGAGGAATCGGGAACGGAGGAGAGGGAGGTCGTGGTCGGTGAGGGAGGCCGAGAAGATTTATAATGTTTGTCAGACTACTACTGTCGTAAATATATATTTTTTTTTGGGTAAATAACCAGTGGATTAAAATTATCATGGATTTAGACAAACAAGTTATTTTGGCTCAATTAACTCACCATTAGTTGATTGGGTCAAAACAACTCGTTAAAATCATGCATCCAAATGACTTATAGCATATAGGTGATTTTTTCTTCTAATTTATAGGTTAGGTAAATCGCGTAAAGATTTCTGCTTACAAATATTTTGACAAGAGTACTTCTGTAATAAATGTGATTTTCTTTATAAACAACTATGGGTTAAAATGATCATCGATTTAGACAATATTCCATAGTTAGTAAAATACGGTACGGGAAAGTTACGTATAATATACGGATGGGTATTTTACTTCGTCTCTATGCTAATGTTACGTTTAATAGTACGTTAATTGTCATAAATATAGAAAATTAATTATTTTAAAAATAAATTAATTAATTAATAATAGTAAAGTTAATACTTGAATTCATTAAATACGGATATTAAACATGTTATACGGGTTTTATACGTGTTTAATACGGGAGCCATCAAATGAACGGACAAAAATGAAACGGCTTGACAATATTACGGATACGAAAGTTTTAAAAGGATAAAGTACGTACTGGTACATATACGTGTATTAAATGGAGTATTTACTAACTATGCAATATTCTCACACTTTCACCATAAAAATTCAAAACCAAGTTATGAAATGCAGTTCCGGCCACCAACAACAAATTTAATCGGAGTTAAAATTACTATCAAAACAGTGGGGGGGGGGGGGGGGGGGGGGGGGGGGGGGGGGGGGGGAAATAACGCAATGTATATCATTCAATAAAAAGCACGTCACTTTCTACAACGACAACAGAAAATTGCAGGTCCCGCGTTTCCAGTATGCATGCCGAATTCCGCCATCTCAATGAAAAGGTCAGGAAGGTCAAAAGCTAAAGGCCAAGGCAACGCAAGTTCTGGAATTAACCCCAGGCAATGAATTCTGTCCCTCCCATTTTGCCCCCAAGTGGCTCACAATCAGCTGCTCTTAACTCTGAGCGCAACAATCCCAGGTTTTGCGACTTGGCAGCCTACTGGAAATGGAATTCGTCAGCCACTGACTGGGCTGGGGCTGGCAGCGTCGATTGAGATGGCTTATTAATTTCATCCCAATGGCGTTGCATAATTTGGATCCATCAGCACACTACATCAGATAGTCCAGCTCGGTCTTGGATTCAGGTGTTTGGAATCGGGGCACCACTCCAACTCCAAACATTTTGTTATTTCTAATTATTTCTTTCTTCCATGTATATTTACTCATAATAAACCACCCGGATTGCACCCAAAAAAAAAAAAAAAAAAACCAACCGGCATATTATTATAGTTTTTTTTTTCATTAGGAAATCAGGCATATAATATAAGAGTACACTATTAAGGATGATTTAATTGGGTTAACTGTCAGTATTGGTGCTATTAGGCCACTTTTATATAGGCTTCGCCGATTGATGTTCAGACTTGAATTTAGGTGTATTCATTTAAAAAAAATATATAAATACGCATTTTACATTTGTAACAAGAATTGAGTCTTTGTCATCACAAACAAAAGAATTGAGTTTGTGGAGTGGGGAGATACACCTAGGGTTGGCTATTTGGTTCGAGCTTTTTGTGGTTTTAAACGAAATCGGACTGTATAACTTAGACCGAGACTGGATTGGGACCGGATAGCAAACAATTCAATCTCATCTTCGGACTTAGATTTGTGGTAAAAAAACCGTTCGGGACAGGACCGAAAAACGGATAAGAGAGCCCAACACCCAAAATTCAACCAACTCCTCACCTTTTCAAGACTCAGACCACTCAAATCCCCACAAGGTCAATCTAAAATCAAGACCGAATTGGGACCGGAAGGTTCAAGACCGGACTGTATCCAATAAAATCTTTGGTCCTTATATTCTCGAAAAGACTAGATCGGGACCGGATCAATTCGGGCCAAATTTCCCGGACCGGACCATATAGCCACCCCTAGATACACCTATGTCACTTTAAAATGGTGAGCTCGATTTATTGAATATACATAAATAGGGATTTTTTTTACCAAAACTCTCCTGATTGTAGGACTGGAAAGATAGACCAGACCATTTTGAAAAACCATGGTCCAAACCGGACCGCATAGTTTGGTCTGGATGTAAACCGTTAAGTATGGTCTGGTCTGGTCTGGTCCATGATCTTTACTAATGATGTTTTTATCTCTTGGTCAGGTCTGGTCTAGACCGCGATTTACCTAACAAAACCACAGACCCAACGACTTCTCAACACGTGTTTGCAACCCACTCAACCACTTTCGCAACTCCCACAACGATACCCAAGTCTCAATCTTAATTTTGAGCATCTCGTCCCCTTCTTCATTCACAACCACATTTCACCAGAGAGTAGAGACGATCGTGTCTCCATATGATATTATGTAAATGTTTATAACGTTATAGTGCAAGTTGGGATGCTTTGAGTTTGTATCTTTATTATTTACTGAGATTTATGGTGTCAAAATTATTCATGCATGTTGAAATTTATGTTTAAAGGCAAAAAAAAATATTTGGCTATTGGTTCAATTTTTTGTATAGTTGACTAATCAAATTGTTCATTTTTCGTCCATTGTGGTTGATAGACCGTTAATTACACATGTTATTACCCCTATTCTTGAGCCGTTTGAGATGTTGATTCTCGTGTTTTAGGCCGATTTCATGGTAGGTTGTGCTTGTTTGTGATATTTCAGGTCCAAGTACGTGAATGAAGGTTTGGGAACGAGTTTGGGGTCGATTGGACGAGGTTTGGACGTTTGGCGAGAAGCTGAGAAGCCACACGGGCATGCCTAAAAGCCACACGGCCGTGTAAGGGAACCCACGTGGCCGTGTGGAAATTCCAGGGAACTCACACGGGCAGCCTGGAAATCCAAACGACCGTGTGTTTGTGGACGTGTAGGATGGTTGAAGGCACTTAATCGAAACGCCGCGTTTTGCACAACTCACACGGGCAGCTGGGAAAGCCACACGACCGTGTGGTTGGGATTTTCTGGGTTTTAACCCAAATTCGAGCAAAAAGAGAGGGGATCGACTTTTCAGATAAAAAACAGAGTCCTAGAGAGAGAAAGTGCGAAGAACATCTCCTAAGAGTGGTTTTCGAGCTGGGTTTCATCAATCAAGTTTGGAAATCATCCTTGGAGTGAAGATTGACATCCCATAGCAGATTCTTCCCATCTTGATGAGTATGACTGCTTTGTTTGCTATTTTCCTCTCTCTCTCTCTATGGAGTAGAACCCTCTTTCACTTGGGTATGAAGAACCCTAGTTCCATGTGTTAGGGATCTTGATTTTAATGACTTGAAATTGTTATACTGTTTGGTTTTAATCGAATGATGCATGATTCATTGAATCAATTGTAGTCTGATCATCTTTTCTTGATTTCTGTTGCAACCTGAGATAGATAGAATCTGATTAGGTTGTTAGAGTTTCATCATTCGGTAGTGGTAGATTGGTTATACAAGAGTTAATCAATCTACTACTTTGTACTAGAACCCAATTCCAGAAGTGGAGTTCTTTGTTCTTAGCCTCAGTTTTCTATCCCGGTGGAGACTAGTCGTCTGCCGGGTAGTTGGACTGAGAGGGCTTGGTCAGCTTAAGAGATTCCAAGCTACTGTCGGATCTTCCGCAGTTTAATCAACAGTAAATCAACCCAGGTTAATTACAACTGAGACCTAACTAAGGAGCTAGGGGGACTCATTCCCGAGTGACTCTTCCTTTGCTTTAGAAAACCGAATCAATTCCTGCTTTCTTACTGCTTTTAGCTAAAACCACAACCAATCGACTTAGTTTGCTAGATAACAAATATACACGGAGTAGGCAGTAGATCTAGACCCCGGGTTGATAATTAGAACTTGCCACTGTACTGCATTTCTGGACTGCGATTACACTTGGTCGCAGTTTGGTGTTGTGTCGTAGCGTGTCAAGTTTTTGGCGCCGTTGCCGGGGAACCTCTAGGTTATTGTAGAAACGTGAAAGTCTGTTACTTTAGCTTTTTTTCTTTTCTTTTCCACCCTTGCTTTTCACTTGGGTGTTATGTTTTTGTTGGTGCAGATCTAAAACATGGATTCTCATGGCTTCCCCAACCATTGGGGGTATCAACCACCATCAGTGTGGTATTACCCAATACTTCCTTGAGCAATCAAGGAGGAGAAGACTATGGATTCGGATGTCAGTACCAACCCCCTACTACGGAGAACAACCAAACCCTTGGGAACCTCAAGAACAATATCATTTTGAAGAAGAGTTCCTGCCACAACCAGAGGGGCCATCTGAGTTGGAGTTCGCCATGGAGGACATCACGGGACACTCTGCAGAGCCATGCTACACTACACTGGAAGATTCGAACAAACAATTAAGGCTTCTCGTGGAGCAGTTTGCTCGAGACACTAAGAGATCATGCTCCAAGATGGATCTTCAAATCAAAGCCCTTGCCCCTTCCGATCCCTCATTTATCCATGAAATGGAGAAGACTGTTCAGTTCTCAGCGAAGCAAACAGAGTGGGTGGAGTAAGTTAGGGATGGCAATGGGTCGGGTCGGGGACGGATAGTGCATATCCGTTACCCTACCCAAAGTAGCTCGGGTTTTACCCATACCCATACCCACATATGAAACGGGTAGAAAATTAAAACCATGCCCATACCCGTTCGGGTTTCGGGTATCCACGGTTATCCATGGGTAATGATTTCTCTTCATAACTCCAACTAATATATTAACATTCACACGTATTCTCACATTACGCAAGAGGAAAAGTATGACAATAATTCACTAGAATGAAGAAAATTAATTAAAACAACACAATTTCATGAAAATATTATATTTATATGCTAAATATAAAATATGTTAGAGAAAAATAATGACTATTTCTAGACAAAATACATATGTATGTGTATAATCGGGCGCGTTCGGGTTGGATACTGAGAAACCCATGCCCACCCATTACCCGCAATATTCGGGTTCGGGTTTTACCCGTACCCACTAAATGTCCTTTGGGTTCGGGTTTTACCCTACCCGATTAGGCCGGGTTCGGGCGGATATCCACGGTTACGGATATTTTTGCCATCCCAAAGTAAGTTTGCTCACATCCTGCTCAAGATCACCTTTTTGCTACCACGCTAGAAAGAGGTGGAGGATGACAAAGGCTACAGGGACGTTGAGGAGCATACAGAAGTTATCACAGAGAACTCCCATGATAATCATGATCAGGAAAGTCCTCTGATTGCAGATCACACCTTTCCTCATTTCTGCTCTAACATGCTGGGCCCAAGCGAGGAGATGCAAGATGATCCCATTGAAGAAATTACATGGCGACTTTCTCTCCAATATTTTTTTGGAAGAAGAAGAGCGAGAAAGGGTGAGGGAAGAAGTTGTGGAGGATGATGAAGAAAGCAAAGAAGAGGAAGTTCTTGATCTTTTCCAAGGGGAGAGACCACATTCTGATGAAGGAAGGGGGTGGAGGAAGCAATTGGCGTCCAGGCTGAGGATGAAGTTGAGGTGGAAGAGGCTTGCACCGACCCTATGTTACATTTTATATCTCCACCAAACTTCAAGGAGCTGCTTGGCAAGGACCCATTTGCAGTGTCTCTTTGCCAGACCAAGACCACATCAACATCAATCCCTCCTGGTGGATGCGATGGTGGTCAATAGAATATATCTTATCTGGTTTGGGGCAGTGAGACAAGAGCAGACGCGAAGGAGAGGTCTCGTGAGTGGAGACTTCATCTTCCTCAAGGCCACGAGCCATCTTCATCACCTATCACATCACCTGCTTGTGACTTGAGACTCCACATCATCGATGAGAACCTCAACTTCAAGGAGGTTTTGGGGTGGACTGAAACTTAAGAGCCACCGTCCAGCTAAGACGTAAAAGAAGCGCTTATGGGGAGGCAACCCCACCAAGGTTTGTTTTTCCTTCGTTTGTTTTCGGTTTGTCCACTTGGAACTATGGTTTCTATCACCCAGTGTGTTTTGATGACTCTAGACCTGCTGACTGGTCCACATTTCCAGTCCTCCGATAGTCCATATTCCAGGTAACATCGTTCCCCCTTATATTTCCCTTGCTCCATTGAGGGCAATGTCGTGCTTAAGTGTGGGGGGTGTTTATCTATTTTTGACAGCTAGATGAGTTTGTGTGCTTAGAGCCTAGTCCAGTGTCCAATTTGATGAATTGAGCGCTCCAAGTACTGTTCCCTTTAAAATCCTGCTCAGTATGCTTTGAATTGACAGTCTCTATGGTGATATGCAACCTAGGGAGGTAGTTGTAGCACTATGGAGGATGTTGAAGTATAAGATTTTTCCTATCGGTCTCTCTGCTGTGCCAGTTGATTTTGTGAACTAGTGGATTTAGGACCGATGCTTCATGTGGTATTGATGACTCCTCTTATGTTGTGTTGTGGGCTCGTGTATCGAAAAAGGGTGCTCAAGTGTGAAATGAAAAAGCAGTTGGTCCTCCATGTCAAAAATTTGAAATTCTAAGACATGGGGTAAGCCCAACGTGTGTGACACCGTACATTGCACAAAATCGGGTTTTGGAAGAGATTTTAGTGATCCTTGGTGGGGTAGGCCTACAAGGTGAAGCTAATTTGTCTCTAGTACAAGTAAAATTTCCACCCGTTGAACGGTTTGTCTACTTGAGGATGTGTTTTTAAGGGCACGGATAGAGCTTCCGACCCCCCTTAATTTCATTGACCCTCCACACGAAGTGAGGAATAGGAATTAAAAGAAGTAATCTGGCGAGTGACAGATGTACAGTAATTGCTCTTGCTCGACTAATAAGGATCGACCGTGCAAAAGACTGCAGTTGGAACCCCCGCTAAGTGAATGAAAAGAAAAAAAAAAGAGTAAAATGAAAGTGAAAAAGGGGTTCCAACGGTGAAATGAAGTGAAAGAGCACCCCAGTACAACGAGTCCTTGGTTGTGAATGGTGTGAGTCTCCTTATCCATGAATTGACTGTCTTAGTCCCACTGCTTCTCATGATCCTTGCTTGAGTCGGGTACTCGCATTGAGAGAGATAGGAGGCGTCTTAGAAGACCAGTTGACCTTGTAAGTTGCTAAATGATCTAGAAAATCCTCTGCCGACGATCGGGGTTGCATTTTGCTATAGAGGTCTGGAGAGTTGCATTGGTTTGAGTCAGGTTTGTTTGGGGACAAGCAAACGGTTAAGTGTGGGGGAGTTTGATAGACCGTTAATTGCACATGTTTTTACCCATATTCTTGAGCCGTTTGAGATGTTAATTCTCGTGCTTTAGGCCGATTTCAAGCTAGGTTGTGCTTGTTTGTGATATTTCAGGTCCTAGTACGTGAATGAAGGTTTGGAAACGAGTTCGGGGTCGATTGGACGAAGTTTGGAAGTTTGGCGAGAAGCTGAGAAGCCACACGGGCATGCCTAAAAGCACACGACCGTGTAAGGGAACCCACGTGGCCGTGTGGAAATCCAAGGAACTCACACGGGCAGCCTGGAAATCCACACGGCCGTGGTTGTGGCCGTTTTGGATGGCTGAAGGCACTTAATCGAAACGCCGCGTTTTGCATAACTCACACGGGCAGCTGGGAAAGCCACACGGCCGTGTGGCCTGCCCGTGTGGTTGGGATTTTCTGGGTTTTAAACCAAATTCGAGCAAAAAAGAGAGGGGATCGACTTTTCAGAGCAAAAACAGAGCCCTAGAGAGAGAAAGTGCGAAGAACATCTCCTAAGTGTGGTTTTGGAGCTGGGTTTCATCAATCAAGCTTGGAAATCATCCTTGGAGTGAAGATTGACATCCCAGAGCAGATTCTTCCCATCTTGATGAGTATGACTGCTTTGTTTGCTGTTTTCCTCTCTCTCTCTATGGAGTAGAACCCTCTTTCACTTGGGTATGAAGAACCCTAGTTCCATGTGTTAGGGATCTTGATTGTAATGACTTGGGATTGTTATACTGTTTGGTTTTATTCGAATGATGCATGATTCATTGAATCAATTGAAGTCTGATAATCTTTTCTTGATTTATGTTGCAACCTGAGATAGATAGAATCTGATTAGGTTGTTAGAGCTTCATCATTCGGTAGTGGTAGATTGGTTATACGAGAGTTAATCAATCTACTGCTTTGTACTGGAACCCAATTCCAGTAGTGGAGTTCTGTGTTCTTAGCCTCAGTTTTCTATCCTGGTGAAGACTAGTCGTCTGCCGGGTAATTGGACTGAGAGGGCTTGGTCAGTTTAAGAGATTCCAAGCTATTGTCGGATCTTCTGCAGTTTAATCAACAGTAAATCAACCCAGGGTAATTACAACTGAGACCTAACTAAGGATCTAGGGGGACTCATTCCCGAGTGACTCTTCCTTCGCTTTAGAAAACCGAATCAATTCTTGCTTTCTTACTGCTTTTAGCTAAAACCACAACCAATCGACTTAGTTTGCTAGATAACAAATATACACGGAGTAGGCAGTAGATCTAGACCCCGGGTTGATAATTAGAACTTGCCACTGTACTGCATTTCTGGACTGCGATTACACTTGGTCGCAGTTTGGTGTTGTGTCGTAGCGTGTCAGTGGTCTATCTGGATCAAACTGTACCAGACAAGACAACACAGGGATGGTATGGTCTGGACCGTATAGTATGTGGTATGGTCTATTGACTATACTCCAACCTCTTGATATGGACTGTATATCGTATATATGTTCCGATTTGAACCAGAGTGCACCGTTTTCCAGCCTTACGTGATTGACAGAGGCTAAACCCCCTGCATCCGCCACTAGGGTTGGCAACGGGGTGGATCGCGGACGGTTTCCCAGAATCCGCTCCCCGCCCTCGAGACTTCCCCGAGTCGGAGAAACCACCCACACCCGCACCCTCGGAGGCAAAAATCCCACTGCCACCCGCCGACCTCGGATAACGGGTTTACCCGAAACCCCACGTGGACTTTGCCATTCCTCCACCGTTGCGAAGCTCCCATTCTTGGCTACACCACCAACCATTGTTGGGTAGAAGATAGAAGAAGACAGAAAGACGTAGGGATCAGAGTAGCGGTTGCTGATCCGCAGATCCCCTTCTTCCATCGCCGCCGCCGTCAGATTCCTGATTCCATCACCGCCATCACCGCTCCCATACCCGCTACAGGGAGGAGTGGGAGACAAAATCCTCATCCTTCATGTTCAAACTGGGTTCTGCAACTGCAGTTGGGTTGCCTCTTCGATGGAGGCTGGGAATGGTGATTGGAATTCGGAAGAGACGGATAGCTGTCGGGCGGTTACGGGGTCGATAGTGATGAATCCATCACCGCTCCATCAACTGTTCGGGTTTGCTCGTCCCTGACCCGTCACCCGGTCAACTCGGTTTCCCCCAGTTTGACTGGTGCGATTTCGGGCAGGTACCCGGATTTACGGTTAGGGTTGCCATCCCTATCCGCCACTGCCTTCATATGAGTTGTCGTTTGATCGTATTTAGTATAAATTGATATTTGTACAAAAAAATTGTCCATTTACTAGTACGATTTGTCATTGATCAAAATTTAAGATTTTACATTCTCACTTTGTCACTGATAATATAAGAACTTGTTCGTGCAATCTATTGATTAAGTAGTCACATCCCTATGAAAGAGCTCAAGGATTCAATTTCTTATTGGGTAACAACCTTTTACTCTAACAAAAGTGTTATGGAAATTTTCAGGTACACTATATTTATTGCTACACAAATAACATAGATATGATCATAATCTATGCACACACATGCAATCGTTCTAACCTACAGATTGCATTGTCACTCCTTAATAAATTGTATTCCCCTCTTGTATCTGTGGTTTAAGAATAATTCTCCTGAGATAGAAAGGACGTACATTTTCCCGGCGTAGCAGACCTCAAACCCTAAAAACCAATGAACGCAACGAATCGACGAGAACCACACTTACTCGAATTTTCTTTTAAAAAGAATGTAGAAAAACACAATATTTTGGCAAAGTTTCGTAAGAAAAATGTTATATTTTCTTATCTAAAACCAAAGGGTTTGATGCTATTTGTAGAAAATAAAGGAGTGCGTACTATGAAGGTGACTCTTTGGGTGAGGTGATTACACCCCAACCATTATATTGATCCGTTTTTAAAATTTCCGAACCATTGCAACGGTTTAGCCCAGATGGATAGGTTGGTTCATTCCAACCGCCACATTGGTTCGATTCGATTCAACTCGGTTTGGTTATACCAACCAATCTAACTGATTATCATTATATTTACAAATCGGCCAAATTAGAGAACGCACCTTCCCACATCTCACTAATATGGTACTTCAAAAGCATATTTGACTCTTTCCTCCTTTCATTCTCATTCACACCATTCAAAAATCAAAAATTACTAGCCATTCAAATGGGACATAATGAGTTGAATATAGGATTAACTGTCGTGAGTTTTTCAGTTATCTAGCTAGGAAGCTGGAAGGCCAGTTCTTCCAGTCCCATCAACTAATATCGATCCTAGCTAGTTGGCCAGTTGGGTATTGAAAACTCAAATACAAGAAAACAAAAGGGTGAAAACAAACTCCAAATGGGATGCGTACGGTGATCCGTTCTCGTGTTTACGGAAGTGATGACCAGGCCCAAGTCAGAAAGAAAGAAATAAAGAAACAGAAGAAGAAAATGCTGAGAAGGCCGGTGGTGGTGATGAGCCAGCAGCGCTGCAGAGAAAGACAGCAGCAGTTGGGCATAAACAAGCATTGTAGTTAGTTAGTTAGTTACGAGTTACGACCTTTTCCCCTACGAATTAATGGACAGTGGTGGCTGTTTCAGTACGGCCATCAAACAGAATATGCATCCTTCCTGTACCGGAATCAAACCACAGGAGGACCAAATTAAATTCACCAAACATTTTCCTGCCAAATGGATGCTGGAGAATTGTTATGTGATTAATAAGGCTGTTTGCCTTGCCTTCTGATTTGGATTTGAAATAATATGTCATTCCAAAGTATCCAGGTTAGTTGGCCCATATTATTCGCCAGTATATCAGGCTAGCTAGGGTTTATATATGAAAAGGACTTCAGCATTTCAAATGAAAAAAAAGGCCAAGAGATGCGACATCTCGCTAACTTCTTCAAAAGATTTGGGACCTTCATGTTCAAAACTCCAACCAAATTAAAGATACTACTTAAAATATTCAAACTTAAAACTTTCGTATTTAAAGACTAAAGGTAGAACCTTGTACCTCCATGTTTAACCCTTCTATGTATGAGATAATGGAATTGAGAATTTAGACGTTGATCATTTCTTTTATCTTTATAGGTTGGTGGGCTTGAGAATAGGTGTTTGATTTCTATTTGATGAATAAAGAAGAAACTAGCAAGTCGAATATTAAAAGAATTATTAAGGGCAAAATGGTAAAGACACAAAAACACAAATGGTAAAATCCACCATCAAAAAGTCCAAAACAAACAAGATATTTAAAAATGTCTACATTTCCAAACGTCTATAATTTTAAGTGTCTTCGCTTAACATATGACTCATTTTTCAAACCCACCATCCACAAAGTTTAGTAACAAGAGCTCATGCAACTCTCTAAATCTTATTAAGTTTGTCAATGGTTTGACAAAAAGTCCACAGGTTCTAGCAGTATATGAGAATTTGGAATTGGAATTCCAAATATCAAATTATATGTTTGTATGCTAAGTAGAAATGTAAATATGGTATTTGGATTTGCCCAAATATGTGGATGAATTTAAATACATATGTAGTGTGATATATTATTTTTAAATTACAAATACATATTAACCGACAGTGATTTGAAATTTCTCAAAATATAAAAATGACTTATTTATAAATTTCTCAAATTTCAGATAGCAAGAAAAAGTATAAATATAGCAAAAATGTAAGTTTATCACCAAAATTTTAAACCTGTTTGAAAAAAATACAAGTTCTAAAATATAATTTCCCCCCCAAAACTATAGTACTTGGCCAACAAACTTCTTGTTAAAAGCTAAAAGTCATAGAGTATGAATTATCTAAAAAGTTACATATAAATAATCAAACAATGATACTGAATTGCATGAATTTTAGATATTAATATTTCAAAATTCAAGATCTCAAATAGATACATTTGTAATACACATATCCAACCACAATGTTAGAGATTTTGAATTGCAATCTTGAGATAGAACACCGGCTCTATTTCGAAATGAAGTTTATAGATAATTAGCCATTTTCAAAGGTAATTTGGTTCCAAGGAAACACATTGGGTTGACCAAGTTTTTTACTTCTTTCACAAACAAACATATCTTGTGTATATTCAGTTTGTGACTGCTTTGAGAATCCCATTTCCTTGTGTTTGTGACTAAAAGCCATTGCTAGGACCCATAGGCCATAGCTGACCATGGTGGGGAAAAAACAAAACACTGAGTTGAGACGGAAATCCCAACAATCAAATTGAGACTCTAGCAACTAATGATTTCAGTAAGTTAGAAGTTTGATATCGGTATTTGAGATATACCAAAAATTGTATTGAATTTTTTTTATCATTATGGTATCATTGTACACCAATTTATTTTTAGGGTTTGAGATTGCTATTTATTTTGGACTATTATTCAGTATTCGAGATTATGTAAAAGATCAGTATACACCAAAATACGAGAAACAACAAAAATAAAAAATTAATGAAATATATCACACAACCTGTGGTCTTTTCTCACTCTTTGATAACTCACAACCTCCATCCAATCCAATATTGCCTTTCTAACTTAAGTCACTATCATCTCTCAATCCTTCTTTTGTTATGTTCATAACACAAAACAATAGACACTCTCATGAGTCATCTCTTAGCCTCTAATCTTCTAATTTAAGATTACCAACTACAAGAAATAGAGATTTCACCGTCTCTTCCTTTCTCCTTATCCATGCATGTCTTTGCAGTTTGCACTAGGTGAACTCAAGACTCTTTACCTAGTTACTTAGCCCTAAATAGGAACCTATACCGAATAAGTTCAATGAAGATTTGATTGAATCTAATCAACGAGAACTTCGATTAGTTTCTATTAGACTTTTCACAACTCAAGTTCTCATCACCAATATTTTCAATCACAAAGCTAGACATGCAAATCTATACGACAAAATGCTCGGGATTAGGGGTGTTCTAACCATTGTTTACTTATTTATATATTTTATTATTGATTGTAACGTTAATCAATTTCGTATTCAATAATACTGATTGGGTTATCAAAATATTTTAGGATTGAGATACATAATTTTTTTAGGGATTGAGATAGGTATTAGGATATAATTTGCTATTTTGGGTTTTGGTATTTGGTATTTGGTATCAGGATATCAATACTATATCGAATTACGCTCTCGCCTATTTTTCATACACAGGATTTATGACCACAATATGAATATGTTATTCCAACTTCCAAGCATCAAGGTTAAGAATTGCAACGCGGGCGGTTCGATGCGAGTATCTCGATACCTATATCCCCCGTGATAGGTCTGGTAATTTATCATGGGCTTGAGTTGGGTAGGTCAATCCATACAGGTATGTTATGTGAAAAGAAAATATTAAAAAATTATAATTCAAAAGAAAATATTAGAAATATTTATTTTTCATTAAAACCAATACACAAACTATAATATGATAAATGTAGTTAAATTATTCTAGAAATTGAGGTTCCCACTTATTTACAATTGCATTATAGTTAAAATATGAGGTAACTAAGGTACAATCCTAAGTATTTGAGTAAAATTACATATAATTTAAATACAACATGTGAGGAATGGGTCGGGTCAGGGCATATTAAGTTGAAGAGAGTAACTCATGCCCATCTCACTTACACCTACAGGATGGATCCATCCCAAACATATCAAACATATTAGACAGCGGCGGATAAAAAACGTAGTAAAGCATTGGGTCGTATTTGAATAGAAAATTAGTTACCGTAAACAAAAATATATGATAATTGTTGTTTTCATTACAATGTCAATTGTACATGACGGTCTTTTAATTTATCAAATTCATCAAGAATGGAGTCTTCATCCATACCAATAACATACTCTATCTAAAAAAAATACTTAACCAATCAGCGAGAAAATTCACCTTTCATTTTGTTGCACAAATCAGTTTTCACATGTTTCATTGCTAAAAATAATTATCTCGTCGTAACCATTGAAACGGGCTAGGTCAACACTAGATGACAGACAAATAGCTCATTCTTCAAAGAATGCATATAATAGCCTTCAAAGTCTCGAGGATAAACTCTTCAGCAAGTTTGTAAATATTTTCTTCATCAAAAGACTAGAAAAAATATTTAGGATCTAGTACACCATTCAACTGAAGCAATCTAAACGATGACTCAACAAATTTGTAAATATCTTCTTCATCAAAATATTGAAAAGGAAACCAGCGCCGGACAAATTGGCAGAGGAATCCATTTCAGGTCCATTCCTCTTCTCGTTGTTATTTTATGTTTTGGTGGTTGGGAAAATTGAGTTATGAAAAGAAATGGTGTGATTTAGTTTAGAGGGGTTTTTTTCATTGAAACTGTATGCTTTTAGTCTTTTACTTGTAAGATTTTTTGGTTTGATTGTTTTTTTTTTTTTAAATGAAAATCATTGGGGCTAGAATTTTTAGGTTAAATCTAGATAGTTGTTTGAATATGATAATCTAGACCATTTTCTAAGTTACACAAAATCTTATTATCAAATAATATTGTAGCGACTTTTAAATAACACAAGTTCGGATATATAAATCAAAAAAATTTAGGACTTTGCTACGGTGACATGCATGTCACCGTAACATGGACTTTTCGGTCGACCTAATATAAAATTAGGTTGACCTAATTTGTTGTTTCAGTTTTGTGAGATTCAACGACGCGGTTGACCTTCTATAGCAAATGGTCGACCTATTTAGGAAGTGAACAGAATGAAAGGTCGACCCAAATACCTCATAGGCCGACCATTTTGCACTTAATAGGTCGACCGCATTAGTACGAGGTCGACCGAGTGCACACCGTATCCGTATTGGATAAGGATTCCAACACTAGAAAGGTAGCCCTAACTTATCTACCACTTAATTCGAACCATTCACGTCCTAAATATCTATAAATACGAATATATGTACGACTACATGGGGCAGATTTCCACCCAGATGACTGACATGTACGACTACATGGGGCAAATGACTACCCAGATGAGCACACTGCAGGTGACCGTGAATGAGATGCAAGATGAGTTCTGATTTTTCAGTGAAAGATACATGCATCCCACCACATCCAACTACCATAATACTAGCACCACCAATGAAGAAAATGCGGATGAGGGAGAGAGGAGTAGGAACTCAAATTGTGTTGTTGTTGTTAAATCTTGAAAACGATTGTGGATTGATATTATGTGGTTTTAGATTTGAGTTATGTGAACAGAGAACAATTATGATGTGTGTTTTATTGTATTTCTTGTTAGTTTGTTTACTTGTTATGTTATGAAGTTATTAGTCCTTGCTATCATTATTTAGGACTGATTCTGTTGGTTTGAAACGTAATTTGTACGAACAAAATAATCACCCACATCGACATACATAAGCCAAAAAGACGCAGGTCATAGATTGATTTTCCATTATTCGGTCGACCTCGTACCGGATTAGGTCGAGCTCGAAATCAACACTCTTGATCTGCATTTTATGCCAAATGATGATGGATAAATGAATACAACACTTATCTTTTATCTGGTCGACCTCTTTCTGCAAATGGTCGACCATTTTGTTAATGATTGCCATGAAGTGGTCGACCTATATACTGTTATGGTCGACCATTTTGCTTCTGACGCCAATGAAAAGGGCGTTCGATGTTTTTATCGTGGTCGACTCATAATGACAACTTAAACTAAAATGGTCGACCACTACATTTTAAAGGTCGACCGTGATAAGTCATAAGGGTGCCCACATTAGTGAATTCGGTCGACCTCTGTTTGGATTAGGTCGGCCGAAAAGTGCATGTTACGGTGACATGCATGTCACGATAGGCACACCCAAAAATTTATATGTACTATACTAGTTCTAGTTCAGAAGAGGGTCGGGTCGCGACCGGAGTGGTCCATCCCTAGATCCGCCATTGGTCAGCTAAAATGAATCAGATGGAAATTGCAATAGCTAACAAGGGTGGACAATGAGTTGATCCATACCGGACCACAACGGACCGATTCGATGTTTGGACTGGAACACACCGAATTGAATATAATATGGTTCGATCCTTGGTCCTATTAATTTTACAAATACTGGAAAAAAATGGACCGAATTCACGTTTGAACCGGACAAAGTGGACTAACGGCACTATTGGTCCGGTCCTTAGTCCTAAAATATCTATCACTATTAGACTATAGTTCTCCTGAGTTTGGTCCGATTCATTCCGGACCGGAGCGATGCCCACCCATAGCTAACATCATAGGAAATACAGTTTGAATTCGTTTGGGGTCAGATAAAATGAATCAGATGGAAATTGCAATAGCTAAGAATAGGGGTGGGATTCGGTCGGTAAACAATTTACCGTTTATCGAATTTACCGGTTTTGGTATACCGAAGTTGGCCAAACTGGTTACCGATTAACGATACTGGTTTGTAACCGGTTTACCGATTACCGAATTACCGGTAAACGGTTACAAACCGGTATTACCGAAATACCGTGAGAAGCGATTTCGGGCGGTTTTTTTGTCGGTTTACCGAATATTTACCGAACCGAATTTCTGGAAGTGGGGTGATGTTGTAATATTTTGATTTTTTTGAGTTTTTTTCATCATTTTTATAATTAATAATTTATTATTAACTCTTATTTACAATATTTTTGAGGCCTATACTTACATTCAAGTATGTAATATTTTATATTTTTGGGGGTAAAGCAACAAAACGCAGCGCAACACTAGGGAGTAGGGAGGGGGATTCGATATCGGTAATACCGATTTACCGTCGGTATTTACCGATACCGTGTCCGGTAAACCGACTCCCCCAACTTCCCGCTCAGCTACCGATACCGCCAGTAAACGGTTTACCATTTACCGTCGGTTACCGGTTCGTTTACCGGATTACCGTTTACCGGATTACCGTTTACCACCCCCTAGATAAGAAGATGGATCATAGGAAATACAGTTTGAATTCTTTTTAAATCTTCATCATTTTGGGCCCGGATGCGGGATGCATAGTTAAAATAGAAATCTGAACAGCGGAAGAAACAAACGAGAATACCTAATACGACCCCAAACAAACAACACAACAATTTCCTTCCCCCGCAAGACAACTGTAAATTTATGCTTGTATTCTCGGTTGCAGCCGAAGCAGCAGTAAGTAGCGCCACAGTTGCAGACGCCGAATGGAACAAAAAAGACGTAAAACCCGTCATCATCAACCCTCCCTTCCCTTGTTTTCCCCTCCCACCACTTGGCGCTTTCTCCTCTCTGCCGGCATTCCTTCCATTTCCCCCTTAAAACCCCTTCTTCTTCCCCTCCTACTCGTCTACTCCTTTCTTCGAATCCCCCATTTCTTACCTCTCTCTCTCTCTCTCTTCTGGGATTTCCCCTCTCTCCATAACCCATCAACTCAAAACCCCCAAAAGGCAATACATCCCCTGTTTTCCAAGACTGAGTGTCCTTCTTCTTTGCAATCAGGAATCATCACCAACAGAAGCAAGGATTCGAATTTCGTGGGTCTAAATGGACAGGCTGATCAAATTGGAGCCGTCGAACGTGGCGGCGGTGCGGATCGAACCGGGCCAAAAATGCTCCGGCGAGCTCACCCTCCGCAACGTCATGTACACCATGCCGGTGGCTTTCCGGATCCAAGCCCTGAACAAGAATCGATACGCCATCAAGCCCCAATCCGGCATAATTTCGCCTCTCGCGACCCAATCCGTCGAGATCACTTACATCCTCCCTCCAGGATCCCACATCCCCGAAACTTTCCCCCACTGCGAGGACTCTTTCCTCCTCCACAGCGTCGTCGTCCCGGGCGCCGCAATTAAGGACCCGACCTCTGCTCTCGACGCTGTGCCCAACGACTGGTTCACCACCAGGAAGAAGCAGGTGTTCCAGGACAGCGGGTTGAAGATCATGTTCGTCGGGTCCCCTGTTCTGGCCCAGCTCGTCATCGACGGCGCCATGGACGAGATCCGGGAGGTTCTCGAGCGGAGCGACCCGAGTTGGAAGGCCGCCGATTCGGTCGACCCGCACGGCGAGCCCCTGCTCCACATCGCCATCTCTCACGGGCGGGCGGACATCGTTCAGCTGCTTCTGGAGTTCGGGCCGGATGTGGAATTCCGGAGCCGGTCCGGGTCGACCCCGCTCGAGGTCGCGGCCGGGTCGGGCGAGGCCTTGATTGTCGAGCTTTTGCTCGCCCACAGAGCCAGCACGGAGAGATCCGAAACTTCCTCCTGGGGACCAATCCATCTCGCGGCCGGAGCGGGACACGTGGAGGTTCTGAGGCTTCTTTTGCTGAAAGGGGCCAGGGTTGACTCGTTGACCAAGGACGGCAGCACGGCCCTCCACATCGCGGTCGAACAGCGGCGGCGGGACTGCGCGCGTCTGTTGCTGGGCAGCGGGGCGCGTGGGGACGTGAGGAACGGGAGGGACGGCGACACGCCGCTCCACGTGGCGGCGAGGCTCGGCGACGAGAATATGGTGAGGCTTTTGCTGCAGAAGGGGGCGAATAAGGAGATACGCAACCGGAACGGGCAGGTGTCGTACGACATCGCGGCGGAGTACGGCCACTCGCGGCTGTTCGACGCGCTGAAATTGGGGGATAGCTTGTGCGTGGCGGCGCGTAAGGGAGACTCGCGCGCGATCCAGCGGGTGATCGAGAGCGGCGCGTCGGTGAACGGCCGGGACCAGCACGGGTGGACGGCGCTGCACCGGGCGGCGTTCAAAGGGAAGATCGAGGCGGCTCGGACTCTGCTCGAGAGAGGGATCGACATCGATTCGAAGGACGAGGATGGGTACACAGCTCTGCACTGCGCGGTGGAGGCTGGACACGCGGACGTGATCGAGCTGCTGGTGAAGAAGAGTGCCGACGTGGAGGCGCGTACGAACAAGGGGGTGAGCGCGTTGCAGATCGCGGAGTCGTTGCATTACGTGGGGATCACGAGAGTGTTGATCGCCGGCGGAGCGTCGAGGGAAGGGATGAACCAAGGAGCGGCGGCGCCTCCGACGCACGCGCCGTTCGGGAACGTGTTGATGGCGGGGAAGGAGGCGGAGAAGCCGATGAAGAAGCGGCCGGTGAGGGCCAGAGCGATGCAGAATAGTATTGATCGGTCGGCGGCCCCGCTTGCAGTGTAAAGGAGGGAGGGCAAAACGGTGATTGGTGATGGCGTTTTGTATTTCCGATACTGGATTAATCTGTTTTCAGCGTTAAGATTAAAAAAATTGATTATTCAGTTTTGGAAGGTAAGGATTAATGTGGTGGAAGCGACAGCGTCTCGCCTCAAAAAATATGTTCATTCCTTCTATAACCCCAAAAGGAAAATACTAATCCTATTGTGTTATTATGTTTCTTCATTGCTTGCTTAAGTTTAGGGAAAATAAAAATGTATCATAACTTGAATTCAACGGTTCATGTGTTTGTAATATGAATAAAATGAATGGTTATTAAATTCAACGGTTCATGTGTTTGTAATCTGAATAAAATGAACGTTAATAATAACCTTTGTCAATATGGGTATACATTCTTGCCCATCATCACTAAGAGTCTTTCCTGGTGAAAACACTTTTGTTGGTATAATTTATATTATCGATAAAATTATTGTTATTTTGTTTAAGGTTTTGTGATAAAGAAATATGTAGCACTTGATAAACAATTGTGCTAACATGCTAATGTTGGCTGCAAGCAATCAATATATGTTAGTTTCATTAGATCGCTCACACATATTCTTGATCAGTGGCGGATCTATGAGGCTAAAATTTGATATAACAGTTATTCATCGTGACAGTAGTGTGTGTATGGGTGAAATTAAAAACAATGATGTATCAAAGTCAAACACAAGAGCCCAATTCCATAATGTGTTTCGAAACAAGGATGATCAAATGGGAAGAGATGAAATGGAGATACAAAGCTTAATATCAGCATACTTCTTTTCTCGATAAAATAGGGAGGAAATTCAATCCCCACTTGGATTAGCCACTCAATTGGGTGACACAATATTAAACAAAAACCAAACCAACCAATATTTTTGAGCTAATCAGCTTATCCATTATGAATGCATGACATCAAACAAAATGATAAAAATGTGAAATATCCCGAGAGATTACTAATAAGAAAGTTGAACCCAAATCAAGCCAGCAAATCGAACAAAATATACTTTTCTGGCCGGTTGAATATATATGAATAATTTAGGTGACCGTTATTTCTGAGGTCAAGTCTCCTAAGATAGCGATTAACAAACTACTGCAATTAGTGGCCCATTGCTCGTCTCTTATTAGTCATTATTATTGTTAAGTAAGCATGGAAGCAAAGTGCATTCGTAGAGAGTCCATATAATAGTCGTTTTGTTTAGGTATTGGTAAATACATGGACCATTTTGTCAACATCTATGGTCATTGGTGTTCATACGTAACGTACCTATAGTGCATATAATTTATCCGCAAACACTTTGGGTAGGTACTATATATTTTTTAGTTCAGTTTTTTCTTTTAAACTGTCATTTTGGAAAAAGAAATTATTGATAGATCAATGGTCACTGACAGGGTTATATATTTGACTCTAGGGCTGGTCAACAGTTATTCAGTTAGCTGGTTAACCGATAACGGAACCAGAGTCGACGGTTAATGGTTACACTGATAAGGGATTAAATAGTAAACTGTCTGTTTTTTTAGAGAAATTTAGCTAATTTACTAATTGATGATTAACGGTTAGTAATCGACGGTTGAGCGGTTAATCAGCTAACCGATTATGACCATCCTCAAAATTATGGTAGAAAATAATAGGTCTCGGTTAGCCGCAGACACAGGCTGAAAATAATGATGCGTTTGAAGATCAGCAAGATGCCTTGCCTAGCCTAGTTACAATAGTGACTTAGGTTCAAATTATAATTATTTTAAAGGGCTCTAGAAGTAGCACAATAGAAAGATAGACCTGCGCACAGTAGCTCGACAACAATCAGCAATATTTAAACTTTCATGTAATTTGATGGCGTTTATAAGTTGAATAATTGTTGTTGGGTCTCTTTTTCTTGTCTGATTCTTTAATCAAATTTGACGATAGAATGGTGTTATCGTGTACTTTTTTTGGATTGACTTGAGTATGCATTGATATCTATGTTGAATTGTTTTTTTTTTTGTTTATTGATAACAACTTAAAAAAAAGAACACATATTTATGTAGGAAAAATCTACAAAAATGCAATAAAAGAGGAGGTCTTCTATTCTTTAGGTTATCAATCGGTTATTTTGGTCTATCCTTGGTGAATCACCCGTTTAACAGTTATCTGGTTAATCAATAACCGATTATATCGTTACAGTTAACCGACTAATATAAACGATATTGTTAACGATAAATACAAATTATTTAGTGGTTAACCGATGATAATCGACTAAACGGTTATTGCTATACACCCACTAACAAGTGCTATTTAAATCATTTACTTCAATTAAACTGACAAGTATTAATAGTTCAAAAGTAGTCTGAAATTTATTCATCGAGTTCGTCGCAAGGAAGGAGACGAATTATTTTGGAATATGTAAAAAGATCAACACAATCGACAATATGTAGAATTGAGGCATAAGTAGGGATTGGAAGCAGGTTGCTAGTAACTTGAAATGAAAGAATAAGAGGGAAAAGAGGGATGCGTTAAAATTGAGAATAGGAGTGGAGAAATGGCAGGAAAAGAGGACGAAGGAGGGTACCAGACGAGGTAGTAATGAAGAGGTGGATGGGGACATGCCAGCTCTTTTGTGAAAAGGGTTTTCGGGTTTGATTTATTCCATATTCTCGGCGATCAGTGGCGTAGTCAGATTTTGAGTTTATTGGAATCGTTCAAAATTTACTAATATTAAGCCTGTGTATCTACTGAATTTTGAGTTGATCGGGGTCCTTGATAAGCTAACATTGTCGAGAGTATTGGGTCCTAAACTTGAAGGATCGTACTAAGCCCTATGTCTCTAAAGGATTTTGTTACCCAATTTATTCCCACGTGGGGTGCTATGACACATTGAATTCGTAGTAAGTTTCTGCTCGGAGGCTCTTCCTAGCTATCCATATAAGTAAAGTTATCATTCAAATGATTAAAGTGTTAGACACATCCTAAAAAAATATTGTGTCTAGCTAATTTATCATCTCTGAAAAAGAGGTCTTTAAAATACAAATTTCATAACAAATTTAATGAACTTATTATAAACCGTTTATGAATGATTACCATATACTATTGCATGTCCTAAAATAAAAGAAGATCTGTATCGTCGACAACAAAATATTATATGGAGGTGTGAACTTACTGAAGGGTATCTTCCAAGGACGAAATTTGGGTTGGGAGTAATTCACCCAAAAGGTTAAGAATGGGCACAAAATGCCAAATGACAGTCGGAATCTCGTCGCGGTAGATCAAACGGCAACTAAATAGCAACCATTTGCTGTTGTTTTATCTGTCCTCTAATAAGCTAGCTAGTTGAAGCGTATGGGTAAGTTTGCTAAATTTTTGGTAAGAAATGAGCAAAGGAGAAAGGCAAAGTAACTAAAACTCGTAATTTGATGGAATCCAAAATTCCAAAGGGTGGCATTTCAATCTCTCTCTCTAACGACTACGTACACGTAGGCCAACATCACAACAAAGGTTACATCGTAAAAACAAATTCTTTCTTCTTACCATTATGGTGTCTCCTAGTAAGAATCTTAAACCATTATATCACCTCTATATATTGTTTTTTTGTTATGGCTTCTTAGATGTGACAAAAGAAGTCAAAATCGTGATGTGACAAAAAATTAGAAACGAAGTAAAAGTGGGATTGTAAAATCGAATCTCAAAATCGTAGAATTTTAAGTATCATATAAAAACTAATATTTAAAATATTGGGTATTATTTATTATAATGGCGAATAAAATATTTTTTTCGATGAATGGGTTGGTTTTTATTCATCAAATACGATCTGAACAGTGTCTACAAGAATCATGTACATCTACCCAGCTGATATTAGAACAAAGCAAACAAAACAAATACTCTACTGTTACAACTATTACAATTCTACTGCATTGCCCCTTTTATACCACAGAATCTTAACAACAGGAGATTCAACAAACCTTAGATGCCCCTGCTCCTTAGCTTCCATAACTCTCTGCATCTTACAAACCAAATCCGCAATAGACATCTGCTTTCCCCCATAAAGACGTCTACATCGTTCTCGCCAAACTTCACTTAACACTAAACACCATAGTACTCGGCCAACCTGGCATTTACTAAAGCTTATGATTTGCCAATTCAACTACCTGTTGCACATTATATGCCAGCGGGATCTGCCATGGCAAAGGGAAAACACTCCTCCATACTTCCTGCACATGCACACACATAAAATATACATGGTCACTTGACTCTGATTCCTGTTCCTAAAGTGGGCATGTAGTGTCTACATCAAGGTTCCAGCGTTGCACCACATCCAGAATAGTTATTCTACCCAACAGAATCAACCAAGTAATCACAAAATTTTTTGGGATTGCACCCTTCCAGACAAGTTTAGACTTTAGACCACTGCTTCACCTCTCGGCCTAATACTCTGTCACAACCTTACCAATTTGAAACCTGGTCATCTTCTCTCCTTCCCATTACACTCCCTGACTAGTTTTGTATAGCTTCCCATCAAAAGTATCACGAAGCTTTAGGTTTTATTCCATACCCAAGAGCCTCTAGTTTTCACTTCCCATATGCTAAGATTACGAAGTCGATACTCCTTTATCCAAGCAATCCAGAGTGTTTCATGATCAAAAGGATTCCCCAAATATGACGAGCTAGGCAGGCTTTATTCCAAGAGCAAAGGTCTTTGAAACCCAGACCACCCTCTGTACGAGGCAAGGCCACCATTTTCCGGGATACCTAGGCCCTTTTTTTCTTCTCAAAATCGCTCCAAAGAAACTAGGATCATAGAGTTTCTATTTCTTTAATAACTTTCTTTGGCAGAAGAATAACATTCATCCAAAATTGAGTCATGCTAGCTAGCACTGAAACAACCAGCTCTAGCTTCCCTGCTTAGGATAACCGTTTTGGTTGCCGTAGCTTGTCAAGCCAACTCGGATAGCTCAATAAATGCTCATTAACACAGCTTGTCAAGATGAGCTCGATTTGAAATCATTCTTGCCGAAAAACGTGTACACATAAGAATTTAAATGATAAAAAGAACACTAGAAACTAAAAATAACAGCTACCTTCCATACACATCTGTATTAACAATATAATGTTCATGTTCAGAAGAGTAATTAATCCTTCCACAAGTTGTAAACAAGCCAGCTCACAAGCTTAGCTCAACAAGCCACCGAGTCAAGCTAGCTCACGAGCTTATCAAGTTGAGCATGGTCTAGCTCAAGCTTGGCTCATTTTTTAACTAGTCAGCTCGCGAGTCGGCTTGTTAAATAACGAGTCGAGTGTCGAACGAGTTTTTTCTGATTCAAAAGTCGAGTTGCTCTCGAGCACTTTGGCTCATTTGCATCCCTAACCACATGCTCATTGACTCATTTTGCCAAGGTGATATTCTAAACAAGACGCCTACTCAAATGAAACAATTGTTTGGGGAGATGGCGGCTCGCGGTTAAGATTAATGAGTTAATAAGAAGATGACAAAATTCAAAAGAGAAAGGTACTCATTAGGTGGAATATCATTCTTCACTTAATGCGAAGATTGATGACTTGATCAAGATAGAGCACACCGACAATGCCTCAATTAGCCAACCAAAGGCTCAAGTTCATCTTTGTGATTGGTGTCAATGTCCCAACCATGCTCCTGATGATTTCCAAGAAAGGATGGAGGCTAGCACCCCCGATGAACAAGTGGATTTCATCACCAATGCTAGGGATGGAAAATGGGCGGGTTGGTATAATTATGATCCGCTATCCATCCGCATTCTTCTTCCGGTTAGGTTGGGTGGGTAGCATAAGAGTGTGGATGATCCATTCTTAGAGGCAGGTTGAGAGGTGCCAAGTTTATGGTATTCCCTAACAGTGTGGCAGATCCATTCTTAGAGGCATCTTGCTCCAAACCAAGATGAGATCCATCAGATGCGTCTAACTAATGATGTAAAAGTAGCCCTTGTTTGGAGGCAACCCAACTTAGGTTTGTATTTATTTTCTCTATTTTTTCATATGTGTGAGTTTAAAGTTGGGTGCATGCCCGAGGTTGTCTTTATTCTGTCATTGGATGTGTTGTGTTTGAGTTCTAGGCATGGACGAGTCAATCGAGGGTCGAAAAATGATGAAGCAATTAAAATTTTCAAAAGTCACAGTTTTGGTTTCAAAATCGTGACATCCGCACTAGCCCCTGAAATGCAGTTTTGCTACTGATAATTTGTAATTGTCACGACTTCATTCTCGATGTTATAATTGAAACCGTGACATTTGACAAAATTGTGAATTTTGAACCAGTTGACAGCGTTTTTGCGTCAACTTTATGATTTGTTTCTTATTTCACGGCCAGTCCATGCCTTCCAACACAAAATCTTGAGTCTTGCATCGGGTAGGTATACAAGGTCATGACTGCTATACACACCCACAATCCTCTCCCTGAGGCCCTCCTTTTCTAAGAAATTGGTGGCAATCGAAAAACATTTAAATGTCGGCAAGGAGCTTCTGCAAAGCTTCTGGTAAGGTTCGGTGAGCTTCTTTGGTCCTTTTTTGCTAGTATTTGACTCCCTCGCCTTGTCTTCACCTTCCCCTACGTGCCTACTTGTGTTTCCAAGTGTGCAATCTCCGTTTACCTTGTAAAAATTGGGAACTGGTTCTAGGGTTTGTGAGGAGATTGGGTACTTTACATGAAATTATTGAATTAGGCAAGGGATTAGTTGAATGATGAATGAATGTATTTTGAGATGTTTAATGACTTGTGGATCCCTTGGTGGGCAAATATTGCATGTTGTGGGATCTTTTGAATGAAATGCCCACCAAGTGTTTATTAAAATAGCTAGTCTTCATACCCTTTGTGCATGTTGTATGGGAGCGCCACGACATGTTACAGGGTTGCTTTTGCATCCTACTTAGACTATGAAACCCCAAGTTTCATGCCTTTTATATGCTT